AGCACTCAGGAGGCAGAGGCAGACAGATCTCTGTGAGTTCAAGGCCAGCCTGGTCTACAGGGTGAGTTCAAGAACCACCGGGACTACACAGAAAAACCCTGTCTGGAAAAACAAAAAGCAAACAAAAGTGTGGTTGTCATGACACTATGGCAAAGCCAAGCTGGGAGCTGGCTTTAGGCCTCACACAGGTTCTCTACCCCAGTTCAAGTCACACATCATTAACAATGGACATCTACAGGATGTCCAGCAAGGAGGAGGTGATCACTTCTTTAGGACCTAGCCATTCTAGACCCTCAGTTAAGTGCTCACTGTCCTCAAACCTTCTCTAGTTAATACATGGTTCTGGAAGAACAATGAGGTTTCCCATGGGTGCACCTCAGCCTGACCAAATACAGCCACCTAAATGGTGAGAGGAGGAGAATTGGGAGAAGGCAATGGTTTACACTGTTGATCTGACAGGGTGAGAATCACTTGGAGACAAATCTTTGGGCATGGCTGTTAGTGGTCTTTCTAGATTGCCCACTGGGAATCCCGTGCTTCCTGGCTGTAGATGCAATCTGACCAGCTGCCTCAAGCTACTGCTGTGGGGGCTTCCACACCATGGTGGACCCTACTCTCAAACTATGATCCAAAATGAGGCCTTGATTTTCTTGTGCCAGGTATTTTGTTGCAACAAGGCAAGCGACTAATCCAATGCACAGCAGTCTCTCCCTCAGGAAAACCTGGAGCCTTTAAACTGTTGATAATCTTATCCAAGGTTGCCTGAACTCACTAATTTGTTTCCTCCCTTTTGGCCACATAACAGGAAAATCCAAATATCAAAAGGCTCCATAGCACTTGAAGAAACAAAACAGTGCTATCTGGTGGCCAAGGCTGGAGTGGCAGCCAGAGAACAGGCTAAGTCAGTCTGGAAAATAAGCAGCAGAATATGTATCCGAGCACTGCAAACCCCATAATGCTGCCCACCCCCCACTTTCACTTCCTGACACTACTCCACTTGAAGCAATGAAGTCCTACTTGTTTGCTTTTGCTCACTCAGCAGTGGAAAGGTGAGGGATGTAGCAGAGACAGAGAGAGCAAGGAACAAGCAGGGCCTCAAAGCCACCACGGCCTGCTTTTCCATGGCATTCGTGACCAGAAGCCTGGTGAGTACTCATGGCACACAGCACTAAGCGTGTTCTCTTCTCAGTAGAATCTGACCAGAAGGTATTTTGCCCAGTGGGTGGCCATTTCAAGACTACACATGACCACCTCACACCAAGTCCATGCACATAAACAAAGGCTGATTGGTGATGTACGTAGGTTGACTCTAGGGGCTATGTCCACCCTATTCAGAGATGAAGCACTCAATGACTTCATGGACAATATTCTTAAGACTCTGGAACTGCAAGAAATCTTGGTCAAGGAAGTAGTGAGACAGACCAAATGTTCTTAAATCCCATTCCCAAAGTTCACCTCTGCTAGGACTATGTTAGCTCTTTAGTATCCACTCTTGGGGTGGTGTTAAGGTGCTAACTTCCAGTGGGAGGTTAGGCTCATCTTGATGGGGAATTGTCTCCTGAGAGATCAGGATGGATGTCTTGCAAGAACTTTGACTGGAAACACCAGGCAACTCTTAGCCACCTGGGACTACCCTCAACTCCACCTCTGCATTTCCCGGGTAGAACACGCTCATGCTCGCTGCCTAGAGAGCACTTACAGCCTGCCCTGGCAGGCCCTCATCCTTTACAATTTCCAAGTGTAATGAATATACATACATGGTATATGATATAGGTTAAAACAGACCAGCAGCCCAGATCATATGTACAAAGGCTTTCTTTTGGCATGCTCACAGGGGAGCCAGGACAGTGGGAAAGCATTGGCAGGGGCAGGCTGTCGAGCAGCTCAACATCCACCATTTCTAAAAAAGAAGCTCTCCAGGAACTAATAAATAGGTTGGCCTATCTTACATTGGAAGGCAAATGTTTATAACTTACATTTCTGTGTTTGTGTCAAACAAATTACAGCCCTGTGGTCTCTAATCACCTAGATGAAGCAATTGCACTGTCCCATATCTCTACTGCAAGGCAGGTTAGTTATCCCAAAGACTCAAAACATCCCTGGACTCACCAGATCACAGCTCCACCCTCTATCCCAGATCCCAAGTTGGGAGCTGGCTGCCTTGAGATGTCTCACTTAGGCTGTTGACAGCATACACAAACATTCTCATGCAATGCTTAAACATGAATTTTGTTTACATAAGTCTGCAAAGAGTGAAATATACCTTACAAACTGATTATGCCTGGAAAATGGATTTAGAACAGTATTGCTTTATATCATTTTTTGTCTAGAACTTCTTAAGTACCATTTTCTTTACAAGTTACATATGAAGCCTCTCAGACAAAGATGAAAAACTTGAGCCACACGCAAAGGGCTGAGGACAGAAGGCCATCAACTCTGGTGTTCCAGTCACTGTTGAGGAAGGACACTCCAAATGGAGCTCATGACAGTGTCTTCACTACTCTCTTCGGTAGTTCTTCTCCACAAGCAGTATTCCAGATTCACTATTTCTGAAGCATCGTGGCAGGAGGAAACCTTTTCTTTTGACGCCTGTGGAAACCAAACTCAGGGCCTCACTCCTGCTAGGCAAGCATTTTCACCAAGCTCCATCCCCAGCTCAACAGAACATTTTAATGTAGGCTAATGCGTAGCACAGACTAACACATGTTGGTTTGTTACTGGATGACCAGCTCTGGCATAATGCTCAGTGATCATTTAAAATGCCTGCTGTCCAATTTACCTCCTGTTACAAACACATAGGAATCTATTCCAGTCAGGACTGGGCCCAGGGAAACAACCATGGGTGCTAAATACCTCTTCATGCCTGTTCCAAGCTATAAGCAGATCTGATAGGGCTGCCGAATAGCCATTCAGATTTTTGTGGGAAGAGGGAAATGGAGCAATCCACCACAAAGGCCTTAGGGCTGGGGATGGCTCCTGAGGGAAGGTGCTCGTTGTAGAAGCCTGGGAGCTGGACTTGATCCGAGACCCAGGTAAAGGTAGGAGAGAACTGACTGCACAAAAAACGACCCTGGGAGTACAGCCCTGATGAGAGCAGCTCAGTTTCAACCATTGCCCAAGAAACACATTAACACCCAAAAGCCATATCTTATTGTTGTAGCTTTTGGAGGCAGTCTCTCTATGGAACTCAGGATGACCCCAAATTCACAATGCTCCTGAACCAAAATCCTAAGTGCTAGGATTACAAGTGTGTGCTTTTAGTGGTGGGCAAACTAGGTGCATCTTCACCACATCTGCCAAATCAGAAGATATTAATCTCAAAGCTTTTTAAAGGTTAATTTCTTCATTTATTTTGTGTGCACTGCTGTTTTGCCTGCATGTACGTCCAGATCCTTTGGAACTGGAGTTACAGTCAGTTGTCAGCTGCCATGTGGGTGCTGGGAATTGAACCTGGGTCCCCTGGAATAGAAACTAGTGAGTGCTCTTAACCTCTGAGCCATCTCTCCAGCCCTTTTGTTTTGTTTTTAAACAGGGTCTTGCTACTTAATCCAGGCTGGACTTGCATGGAGGCAAAAATCTTTCTGGGATTACACGCATGTGCTACCTATGTGTGTGCCCGCACACAGTGCTGCAGCATCAAGACTAGGGTTTCAAAGATGTTAGGCAAGTACTCTTAACAAATCACAGTCCCAAGCCATCTCATTGTCTTAAGTCTCAGGGATAGATGAAGCAAATTTGTGTTATTATCTACCACTCAAAGTGACACTTCACTCTCTCCACTCCCAGTGAGTTTCTCGAAAGCTAGGACAATCATACTTTCTCCAGCTACTAGCTTTATAGAAAACAAGCTCTTCTACGTAAGAAACCTTCCAGTAACAGTCACTGAAGTGAGGCAGAGTGCTCTCTCCCAGCCTTTGCTACATACAGAGTTCTCCAATCTCATTGTTTGCTTACTAACTGCCCTCCCAGACTCGGGCTCATGTAACTCCACTCTCCTCTCGTCCAAGCCCAGGGACTGTGGGGCCACTAAGATGGAAACTCATGTCAGTGACCATTTTATCTTTTCTCCATATATCCAACTAACGCAACCGTCCTTGTGTTGTGGTGACCCCCAACCATAAAATTATTTTCATTGCTACTTCATAACTAATTTTGGTAGTTATGAATTATAAGTACTTTGAGATAGGTTTGATGAAGGGGTCTCGGTCCATAAGTGGAGAACCACTGCTAAGGTATCAGCAAGCTACAACACTAACACATAATGGAATGTAATTTTTTTTAAATAAAGCTTTAGTTTGTAGTCAGGCACAAAAAAAGATAGCCTAAATTGGAAGCTGAATGTCTCTAACATCCGCGGTGTTTGATGCTGCACAAGGTAGCACAGATAAAACACACTTGAAGAACTTAAGAAATCCTAGGTGTCATTTGATTTTGACTCATAGTATGGTTTTATGCAGCTGACACCTCAGTTAGGGAGGGGATGGTTCAAATCTCCCATCCATGAGCAGCAGCTATGTCAGCAATGCTGCTACTATCAGAGACCGTGCATAGGTACCCATGAAGACAAGCTGCTGGGGGTGCAGATAAAGCTCTCATGGTAGAACGACTGCCTGGCACCACATAAATCAGCCACAGTGGCACACACCTGTAACCCCAGAATTCAGGGGTAGAGGCAGGACACTGTAAGCCAGCCTAGCTCACATGAGACTCAAATGAGCAAACCAAACAAACACCTGTGGAGACCTAGAGGAAAGGAGGGCTCATACTAGATGGGTGAAAGTCCTCAAAAGACTTTATTTTAGCAGCAGTCCTTTATTCTTTGAGCCCTACTTATTTTTGGTAGTGCAGGGTATGGGATCCAGGGCCTTGCTTATGCTAGGCAAGTGCTCTACCACTGAGCTGCACCCCTGGCCTCCACAGTGCCCCCTTCAAAGATTACTCTCAGCCCCAGACAAGAAGAGACATCACAGCAACTGCAGGACACTGCAGACCACTAGGAGTTATTCTTAAACAGATTTAATGATCTGCATTGCATAAAGGGGATAGTACATTTAGATCTTTGCTACATCACAGACTTTTTTTTTGATGTTTTATTAAGGATCTACTAGTTCTACCCACTAGTAGAGGCTGGTAGCTACAGACAGTGAGGAAAACAAGTGTCTGCAACAATTTAGGAAGAGTAAGCAGGAACCTGTTGTTCTGCTTACCAGGAACCCTTCCCCTCTGCAGAACTGAGGGAAACAGCTATGGGCTGCCCATAGCCATAAAGAGGGATGGAATTACAGAGTTGGGAAAGGAATCCCAGGTAGGCAGGTTTGGTAGTCCCAAGTTTCCCTTCAACTGATACAATAAAACCAACCGTCTAAGATGATGAATTCCAGCATCTTAAATCAACCAAATTTCCCTGACAATTCAAATATAATAAAAGCATTTCATAAGGACTTATTTGAAGTCTGAAGTGATATAGGGACCACTCCAACATTCTAAGAGCTTATTTATAAGAGCATGGCTTGAAGAAATGGCTCTGGTCTTTGAAGACAGGGGTTTTTATTAGTGGGGACATGAAGGCAAGGACCCAGCTAAACAATCAGGCTACAAAGACAGAGTCTCCACAAGTTTGAAGACAAACACACTTTTGCTGCAGCCTGCCTGGGGAGAAGCAAAAGCAAGCAAGCCCTCTAGTTCTGTAGGCCCACAAGGTGGAGGGGCAGAAGAAGCTGCAGTCTAGTGTTACAATAGGACCAAGGATTTATTATTCCACAATATAAACTGCAACATTTGATACAACCTTTAAAAAAAGGGGGGGGGGGCAGCAGGGACAAAGCCAAAATACGGGCGTGGGATTACTGACAGTGCAGTCTCTTTCTACATCACTAATTCATCAGTGACACTAGAAACTGGGTACTTGCGGTCTGTACATTAACCAAATGCTAAAGCACCAACACACCGTTTAGAAGCTTGTTTGTTTTAATTCCAGCCACTGAGACCAACATAGAAGTTATTGCTCAGATAAATAAACCTAGCCTACCAGAAAGAAAAAAGTAGAGAAAGAAAGGAACAAAAACCCCAAAGAGAAAAACTTAAAATCCCCCAATGTGGTAACAGAGTAAAGGAGAACAGTTGCTCAGTGAGGGTTACTGGAATTCTGGTGCCCTTTCTGGGACCTGAAACTGAGTTGGACTCTTAAGCCGGTAAATCCCAGGCAGAAGTACAATGTTAATGCTGTACATGAAAAAGGTGCAAACTCCAATACCTTCGAAACTGGTAGAGACCCCTGCAAAAAACAGTCAGCATTTTAAACTTCAACAACCACAAGGAAAAAAAATACAAAAAGTGTCAAAAAATTTTTTAGTTGTTTTTTTTCTTTTTTTCAAAGAGTTCTGGAAAAATGATCCCGCAAGGAATAGAAATAGCACCGTGTACAGGCTGGCTTGACCCCAGTCCTGTAGCTTTGCTGAGATTGAGGAAATCTTCTTTGCTGGAGTCCTGAATTCCATGAAGTAAGTGTGTTTGTTTTTACTTTCGGTTTGGTGTGTCCTTTGCCGTGCAGCGCACACAGATGTAGTCTTCCTTCTCTGCCATCTCTGGAGAGACACCAACACAGACCTGGTGAAACCACTGATTGCAGCTGCCATCACACTGGACCCAGTCCACCTGGTTACAAAGAGCAGGGAGATGGGATGTTCAGAGGAAAAGAATGCCACTCAAAATTGGGCAGGCCAGCCTCAAGACATTCAGGCCATTTGCCACTAACGGCCACTGTCCCAGCACTGGGGCCTCTGGCACAACAGCTAATCACAGGAGTGTAGCTGTCCCACCGCCAAAGCAATCGAGGCAGAGTCATTCTTCAAGTTGTGCCTGCTTTGGGGTAGACAGTGCTGCTCTGTGACCGTAAGCAAAAGGGCACTCCATCAGCATCCCCCCCACCTTCCGGGCGCCAGGACGGTGAAAGCTGGAGGAGCAAGAAAAGGAAAAAGGGAAGAACCAGAGTTTCTTCAAGAAAAGGGAAGAGACCCACGGCCGATGTAAAAGCAGAGTTATCAGTAGGGGAAACTGAACAATCCATTCAGATCAGCCCAAGCAGACAAGCAGAGGAGAAAGCCCCGAGGAGGAGATGAGGTCTAGATTACAGGGTTTCTGAGTTAAGGGAAAGCGTCCTCTATTGCCCACACCTCACTGACCTCATCTCCTTCTGGCTGCAGACAGTTCACAGCTGGACAGACGGCATCTTCATCCTCAGAGTCCTCCTGCTCGGAGTAGGACGTGTCTGAGGGCAGCGAATGTGTTTCAGCATTACGGACTAAGTCATAGCTACGCTCTCTTTCTAATTTGAAATTGTTCATGTCCTTGGGGTGACTCAATTTGATTTTCTTCTTTTGGGGGGTCCGCATTTTTTTAACTCGATCCCACCGTTCACTGGGAAGGCCTTCTCTTTCTGGGCGTCTCTTCAGTTTCCTCTCAAGACTGTTGATTCCATCTCGTTTCCCTCGAAGGCAATCATTCTGGACAGGAGATGACAAATTCAATTTTAGCATTCAGTTTACCCATTACTAAAATTGATACAATATGCGAATGCGAAGCCAAATGATCTCTAAGTATTTATTGAGTCCTAACCACTACCATCTCCCCACTCCTAGTCCTCAAGAACAACCAGCTAATGTCCAGGATCCCTCCTTACTGTTGGTGAACTGAGGGAGCACTGGGAAAGAAAGGGAATTAATGACATGAGTGACCTTCAAGGTGGCCCACTAGCATCAGTAAAGAAAAGATAAACATAGACCCTTCTCACCCAAAGTGAGTGACTGGTTGTTCTAAGTGTTTGCTAAGGACATACATTCTGTCCTTCCAGGAGAAAATGATTAACTCGGTCTGTAATCAATCTTCAGGGGCCTTTTATGAGGGTCTTTTTCATTGTGACTTTACTCTTCCCAGTCGGTTTTTATCCTGATTATATTCTTAGGGACTTTGTGTGCGATAAGCTCCTTACAGAGCTAGAAGGCAGAAGTTCTTTAACTATGCTGAGATACAGGACATTACAGGAGCTGGGGAGACAGCTCAGCATTTTGTTGTTGGAGTTTTTTTGGTTTTTCGAGACAGGGTTTCTCTGTATTGTTTTGGAACCTCTCCTGGCACTTGCTCTGTAGACCAGGCTGACCTCGAACTCACAAAGATCCACCTGCCTCTGCCTCCCCAGTGCTGGGATTAAAGGCGTAAGCCACCAACGCCTGGCTTACAGTTCAGCAGTTTTAAAGCAAGGAACCAGAGGGAGCCCCCAAATCCATGTCAATACTCAATGGCTGTGGTGACTTGTCTGTGGTTTCAACCTTGGAAAGCAGAGACACGGGATCCCTAGAACAAGCTGGCTAATGCCCATCTGCAAGCTCAATTCAGAGATCTTATCTCAGTGAATTGGGTGGAAGAAAGTAATCAGAGTCTGGACATCAACTTCAGGATCCACATATACAAGCATAAACATACATATGCATGAGATATGCAAATACACATAAACACACATTGGAGATGAGTAAAGAAAAGCCTTTGTTATTTTACATCTTTAAAATCTTTGCCAAAAAAAAGGAAGGCCCTTTGAGCTACAATGTTCATCTTTATAGCATTACTTCTATAGAGAAAAGTAATCCCACTACCCCTCACTATTATCTCGATAATCCCACTTCTCATTATTATCAAGGAAGAGAACAGTTCCCTAAAAAGGAAAAGAAAAAATTCAGATATAAAACAAATCTAAGCTATGACACCCCAACTGCTGTGAATGGTTTCGGTGTCTGTCTGGTTGCAGAACGGAGTTGTGAAGTACAGTTTGCATGCTCTTCTGGCTCAAAGACAGAGCTATCTCTTCACCAAAGCATTAGGTAGTGACACTAAAACATGCAATACCACTGCAGACTTGCTTCCCAGCAGCCTGTCACTCACCTTTTCACTACTGACTCTAACAGGTGAACTTCGGTCAGTTTGCTGAGCAGAGCTTGGCTTTGTAAGTAAAGTCTGATAAAGCCCCTGAATTTCAGGAAGTGATACCTGGAGCAACTGGGCTTCCATTAACAGTTCATTCACTTCTGGACTCACACCTGGTAAAGACCAAACCCAATCAAAACAGGAACGGCAAGATTTAGTACATGCACATTTAAAGCTTGTCAGCACAGAAGACTGTCCCCATGCCACTTTCCTCTTTCAACTGCAGTTAGTTTGTTATACGTGGTTTTTGGCTGCCTACTCATAAGGAGTGGCACAATGAAGAGGTGTGGATTTGTTGGAGTAAGTATGGCTCTGTTGGAGGAAGTGTGTCACTGTCGGGGCGGCTTTGAGGTCTCATATATGCTCAAGCTACACCCACACAGTGTCTCAGTTCACGATGTAGGATTCTCAACTCCTCCAGCACCATGTCTACCTGAACATCGCCAAACCACACCATAATCATAATGGACTAAACCTCTGAACTGTAAAACACCACCAATGCCCAGCTAAATGTTTTTCCTTTATAAGAGAGCTGCTGTGGTCAGGCCCAGCAGTGGTGGAGCACACCTTTAATCTCAATACTCGGGAGGCACAGGCATGTGAATCTCTGTGAATTCGAGGCCAGTCTGGTCTATAGAGAAGAATTCCAGGACAGGCTTCAAAGCTACAGAGAAACCCTGTCTCAAAAAAACAAACAAAACAGTTGCAGGTCTACAGGGCAAGTTATAGGACCAAGACAGCCAGACCTACACAGAGAAACCCTGTCTCAAAAAACAAAAATAAAAATAAACAAACAAACAAAAAAAAGGACACTGCTGCCCTATAGCATCAACAATTTGAGCAGAGCAAGGAGCTTAGACCACATGGCTAAGGACTAAGGATCAAGATTCCAGTTGAAACTTTAGGCAGAACTCTAAGGAGGACTATGTCTACACTTATAATCCCAGCACTTCCAAATTGGAAGTAGGAAGATCAGGAGTTCAAGTTCATGCTCAGCTACATAGGGAGTTTGAGGCCAACTTAAGTTAATAAAACCCCCTATCTCTCTCCTCTCTTCTCACTCCCCCGGCCCCCCCACACACACAGTAGAAGAGAAGGAAAAAAGTCAAATGTGATAGCACACACTTGTAATCTCAGCACTTGGCAAGTGGAAACTAGACCATGAGTTTAAGATCACTGACTGGGGTGGAGAGATGGCTCAGAAGTTAAAAGCACTGGCTGCTCTTCCAGAGGGCCTGGGTTCAACTTCCACCATCCTCATGGTGGCTCACAACTGGCTGTAATTACACCCCCAGGGATCTGATGGCCTCTGTAGACACTACATGCACATGGTACAGACATATAGGCAGGCAAAACACCCACACACATAAAATAAAAATAAACAAATGTTTAAAAAATATCATTTTTGACTCAATATTAAATTTGAGGCCAGGGCTGGAGAGATGGCTCAGAGGTTCAAGAGCACTGGCTGCTTTTCCAGAGCAGATCTAATGAGATCTGGTGCACTCCTCTGGCATGAATTTGAGGCCACCCCAAGCTAAAGGAGACCTTAACTGAAGATGGGGGGTGGGAGTAGAGAAGAGGTAGGTTTCAAATATGGGTTATCTCTAACAACAAGGCAACCCATGACTTAACATTCTGACCTAAATACATGGTGCTTGGTGTTAGCTGGTGTGGAGGGCTAACTCTTATTCCTAAAAGTAACAGAGGATGTATCCTTGGTGTTTATAAAAATCTTCAAGTACAATCCATTACTTTGCTACTAAGAAAATGCACAATATTAAAGGTTTTTGGTCTGGTTGCTGTTTTTGAAACAGAGCCTTGCTATGTAGCCCAGAAATCCTTCAACTCATAATCCTTCTGCCTCAGTCTCATGAGTGCTGATGTTATTTATACTTATTCAACACTGTATCTGGCAAGGATACAGTTCTTTAGGATACCAGATCATCTATTACAAAAACCTAAGCAAGGGGCTGGAGAGATGGCTCAGAGGTTAAGAGCACTGCTTGCTCTTCCAGAGGTCCTGAGTTCAATTCCCAGCAACCACATGGTGGCTCACAACCATCTACAATTCAATCTGGTGTCCTCTTCTGGCATGTAAGCAGAACATTGTATATGTAATAAGTAAATAAATCTTTAGAAAAAAAAAAAACCTAAGCAAGCTGGCCAGCTACTATCTAGAAACAGTATAAAATACAATACAAACCATGAAGGGGGACACAACTCTGTCCAGTAGAGAAGGGAGAATGGGAAAAGGAGCTTCTATTGTCCCAGTCCTCAGGCAATGAAATCGATGTAGTACCAGGAGGTTGAGACACCTAATGGAAGAGAAACACCTTATTACAAGGCTTTTGCAGATCAAAAACACTACCAATTAAATGGAAGTATCTTCTAGAATAAAGACTTATTTTTTTTAGTAAGTTACCTCAGGCATCCAGAAACACCAAACCAACCCTCATAGGAACAGTTATTCAACTTCCCAATTTTATTCAGAATGATCTCAAGAGGTGAAGACATAGGGAAAAGAAACCATTTCCACTCAAGAGAACACATTATACCACCTTTCAATGTTTATGTAACTTTTTTTTACTCAAAAGGCATGTAACAGCTGTGCATGGTAGCACACACCTGTAATCCCAGCACCTGGGAGGTAACAACAGGAGGATCAGGAGTTTGAGGATATCTATGGCTCTATGAAACCCTGTCTCAAAAAAATTAGCAAAACAGTGTGTCCTTTCCCTTTATTAACTCTCAGCACACCCTTGGTAAAGGAATACAAGTGGCTCTGCTACTGGCTACCCAAACAGCAGCAAATATTTAATGACTTGCTATTACAGAAGCTATTACACAGGAACAAATGAAGTTAAGATAGGCCATTTTCAGTACTTACTTGTGCTTTGCTAAGCATTCAACTCCCAAGAATTATGATCCTTCCCTCCTCCTTCCCTCTCCATTGTGGTGCAAACACACCAGGCCATATCTAGCCTCACGTTGTTAAGAGAGATAGAGTGTCTCTACTTTGCCCAGCCTGGTCTAAAACTCTTGTGCTCAAGTGACCCTACCTGCCTCAGCCTTCTGAAAGCTAAGGATACAGATGAATATTACTATGCCCAGTTTGTAAATACCTTTGTTACAGAAATATATTGGGATAAGGGACCAGCAAAGTGGCTCAGCAGGTAAGGTGCTTGCCAATATGCCTAATGACCTGAGTTCAAAGACCAGAATTCACAAGATGGAAGGGGAGAATGGATTCCTGCATATGAGCATATAAACATATAAGTAATTGTAAAAATTAATTGTCTATAACCTCAGCACTCAGGAGACAGAGGCAGGAGGACAAAAGTTCAATATCATCCTCAGATACCACAAGTTCATGACCAGTCTGGGTTAGGAAAGACCACATCTTAAAACACAAAAAGCAGGAACACCGAGATGGCTTGAGACACAAGCCTATGGTCAGAGTTCTCAGAAACCACGTGAGGTAAAGGGAGAGAACTGTTCACAAAAACGGCTAAATCATGCACGCCCAAGAGCACACACAATAATAATAATAACAATTTTAAAGGCAAACAAACAAAAACTCCTGACAATTAGGGACAGAGAAAAGTGTAAGGACAGAGAGAGGTGAATGGCCTCTAAAGAGGGAAGTATAAGTGTCATAAATGCTAGTGACAGAAGGAAAGATGTCTCGGAATGGCCACAGCAGACAGGACCACACAAAGCTATGCAGATGTCAGTAACCCACAAAAGCCAGGCTAACCTTGTTTGTCTCTGATGCCGGTCCTACTGAGGCTTGCCATCTGCTAAACAGTCCAGAGCCCACTTGGTCTTGCACAAATTTTAGATTCCCTGAAGAAAGTAGTTGTTGGGCTCTGTGTTGCCAGTTCACGGTTCTTTCAATCATATATCGAAGTGCATCCCCCTCAGGAAGGCGAACTCTTATACGCTGCAGGGAGGCCAGCAGGGGCAAAATTTTATCTAACGGAGGCTTCTCTGACCTTCGACAATGAGGACAAAGCCAGATGCGGGGGCTTTGTGGAATATTAGGTACTGCTACACAATGAGTGTGGAAAGCATCCCTGCAGAGTTCACACTGGATCATGGGAGTGGCTGGAGTCTTCTGGCACAGGCAGACTTTCAGCTCTACATCTTGGACAGGTGACAGCAATTTCCCTTCATTGGCAAGTCTGAGAGACTGCAAAGCTTCCATCTCTCTTAGGCGAGCTTCCCCAAGAGTTGCCATCTGGAAAGGAGTGAGCCATCATGGATATTATCATAGAGAACTATCCCTCATCCACAACACAATCCAAAACAAGCTCTGCCTCAAGCTAAGCCACACCCACTACGGCTACATTTCTGCATGCCAATAATGCATACCCCACAAGGTCTATGAGGAGAATCAAATGAGATGAGACACAACACTCCATCTTGTGCATACTTAACCTACGCCACTTCTGGATTTACGGCCTAGAATATTTACTTCTCTGAAAAGACTGACACTAATACTTTCCGTATGTTCATTTCTGACCTTCTCTACTAGCTTCCATTCCCTTAGATTTTGTGGCCTTTTAGAAGAGCACATGAGACAGAAAGTCTAGAGCCAGGTGTGATAGCTCAAGACTGAAAGCATAGCACTCAGGAGGGTAAGTCAGGAGGAATTGAATCCGGCCTCAACTACAAGAGGGTCGGGGTGGGGTGCTCAAGCAGTCACCACACAGTGGCTGCTCTGTGTTTACTGTTATTCACTGCTAAGTCGTCCATATGTGATGAACACAGCTGCCATTGAGTCCTCTGGAAGAGCAGCCAGAAACCACTGAGCCATCTCTCCAGCCACCTATGTTATACTTTTTTTTGTTATTGTTTTGTTTTTCGAGACAGGGTTTCTCTGTATTGTTTTGGAGGCTGTCCTGGAACTCGCTCTTTAGACCAAGCTGGCTTCGAACTCACAGAGATCTGCCTGCCTCTGCCTCCCGAGTGCTGGGATTAAAAGCATGAGCCACCAACGCCCGGCCCTATATTGTACTTTTAAAGTGGTTCCTAGTCAAGTTAACTTGTTTTACCTTTCTGGTAGCACTGACCTCCTAACTAGTATTTCTAGATAAACCCACATGCATTCTCAATATTCAAGACTCAGACTAGGCCAGGCATAGTGGCACACACCTTTAATCTTAGCACTCAGGGGGCAGAGGCAGGTGGTTCTCTTCAAGTCTGAGGCCAGCCTGATCTACAAAAGTGAATTCCAAGACAACCAGGGAGAGCCCATCTCAAAGACTCAGATTGGGTGGCCTACTCAAATTTTATGCACCTCTGGGTATTTTTGTATTTTATCATTTTGCAGAATTCAAGAACTCATTAATGCCAGGTAAGAATTTTACCAATGAAATAGTTTTTTTGTTTTTGTTTTCCAAGACAGGATTTCTCTGTGTAACCCTGGCTGTCCTGGGACTCACTCTGTAGAACAGGTTGGCCTCCAACTCACAGAGAGCCATATGCTTCTGCCTCCCCAGTGCTGGGATTACAGGTGTGTGCCACCGCCGCCACCACCACTGGGTCCTAACAGCTATCTTTAAACTTAACAATTTTCAAAAGTCCTTTAAGTAAACTCAAGCACTTTTCAAATTATCCTACTAATTGTTCCATATCCCTACATAGTACCTAAAAGGGTAAGAAACTATTCTCCCACAAAACAAACAGAAAACAAACAAAAAGAAGACATCCTACTACGCACAGCTGAAGCAGTCTCTTTGCTCTCTGTTAAGGCCCTTTCCAGGTCACTCAGACTCTCTAATTTGGTACTTTTCTTCTTCCCACTTGGCAAGGGCTCCTTCAACTTTCTCTGCTTCCTTTTCAATCCCAGAAGGCCAATATCACACCTTGGACAAAGCACCTAATATGAGGGAAAACAAGATCATTGTTTAAATAGATTTCAGATTATACAAGTTAAAAGCCAAAGTAGTATGCAAGGTGTCCATTTCTTATTATCTATCATTCTTTGAAAAATGCTACCAAATTCTGAAAACTCATGTGCGTGCACATACACACCATTAATTGACTTGATAAAACAGACCCTTAATAAAAATGTAAAGTATAAAAATGTGATATAAGCTAACTGATTCCAATGAAAACGCATAAGCACCAGCTTACTTGAAAATAGAAATATTTAGCTTAAGCACTTTTTATGCAAAGTAAGTGAGGTCATATCAGGTTTACTGAAATGGAGATGTCTCAGTGGTTTTTGGGAGAACTGGGGTTCAATTCCCAGTATCCATCTAGTTCACAGCAGTTCCAGGGCAGACTTGACTTTACCCTTCCATAGATAGGCACTAGACACATATGGTGCACAAATACACTGTAGTAGGAAAACACCCATACACATAAAATAAAACTAAGATAAAATGAAGGTAGTGAATCACAGTCAGGTTTAGAGTCTAATTTTACCATACATAGAAACCTTTACCCAGTCAGGTGTGGTGTACACACAGCTGTAGTCCCTGAACTTAAGAGAGTTAGACTCTACTATACACTGAACAAACAAACCCTAATGGAAAAATGCTCTTCTCTAGACATGGACACCCTACATGTAGCCAGGAACATTTAAAGTTTCCTAAAAACAACTCACAGTAGATAGATCCACAAACAGGGCCACTTTTACATGCTATGGACAGTATTCAAACTAGAGATGGTTACAAACTTACCTCTAATAGAGAATATGGTGAATTCTCAGTCAAGAATGTTTTAGAAGCACATTCTTTCCAAGCCTGAACTTCAGCTACTAGTAATTCCAGTCTTGGTAAAGAATTCAGATGTACTGGGATAGATCGACCCCTTGCGACAAGTTCGACGAGTGATTCTAACACTGGCACACGTCCTCCTGCCTAGTAAATTAAGAAATGTAAAATAGGAAAAGCACAATTCAGTCTGGCCCATGTTAAATTGGATGGGTGGGGAGGAAAGAACAACATTTGTTTTTCCTTTAACAAACAGCCCATAAATCTAGTTAATGTTAGGCTCTGATGGATAAAAAAATTAATGTGCACTGGGCATTGGTGGCACATGCCTTTAACCCCAGCAGTGAGGCAGAGACAGACAGTCTCTGTGAATTCAAGGTCAGCCTGGTCCACAAATTGAGTTCTAGGACACCCAGATGTTACACAGAGAAACTCTGAATTCAAAAACAAAACAAAAATCTTCTGGGAAATTTATTCATATATAATTTCCTGGTCCCTATCCCGGATATTCTGAGTTAGTATGTCAAGGATAGATCTGTAGATTAAAAAGAGGGGGGACATGAAGTGGGGAGGTAGGCCCACTGGAGGGTCAATAAGAGGTGGGAGAAGGAAGTTGGACAAGTTGTCAAAGAATGAAAGTATTTTATAGGACTGGGCTGGAGAGATGGCTTAGAGGTTAAGAGCACTGGCTGCTCTTCCAAGGGACATAAGGTTTGATTCTGAGCAACCACATGGAAGCCATTTTACAACCATCTGTAACTTCAGTTACAGGGGATCCAACACCCTCTTCTGAACTCGGCATACACATGGTACACAGCAGACATACATACAGGCAAAACATATGAAAATAAATAAATCTAAAAAAGATCTTAAGGTATTTTATGAAAATAATTACAAATAAGTGAACATCATTTGAGGAGTAACAATCAAGGCTGTCACAACAAAAGAAAATAGAAAAATGAGCCGGGCGTTGGTGGCGCACGCCTTTAGTCCCAGCACTCGGGAGGCAGAGGCAGGCAGATCTCTGTGAGTTCGAGGCCAGGCTGGACGGAAAATAGAAAAATGAGAGACAGGCTCTAAGAAGCCAGAGAAGAAAACCTGTAGGCATGGTCATGGCAGGTCTGAGAGCTGCCACACTTGTGAGCTAACAGTTCAATTACCAGAGGTCTGTGGCCTTCTGCTCCCACCTGCTTATCCACTTTGCTGTCAACACTGAGGAACAGCAGCTGCAAAGTTTCTTTCCTACATTGGGGGGGGAGGGGGGGGGAGGCGGCGGCAGCATGGCAGCTAACTGCACACTTTTTTTAACCAACCTGCAGTGCATCTACATCTCGAAGCCAGTCTCTGGCTCTCTGCACAGAATCCTTCAAGACCGCACCATTGGGCAGATAGGCAGGTATCTCCTCGATCTCCTTTACTGCTGTAGTAAGGCTACTCAAAGAATTCCGTGGTCTACAAAAGCAAAACAAATGACATGTATGAGAAGTGCATTGTTCTTATACTTACCAAAAGACCTGGAAAATAATTCATCATGGCAAACAAAAAAAGTTTAAAACATTAAATTCATCGTGGCAAAACAAAAAAGAAAACAAAACAAAAAAAAACCCTTTATTAATGACACTGATCACTACATATCAAGTTAACTCATTTGAAATGATTTAAATGATTAAGAACAAGGGACTGGAGAGATGGCTCAGCAGCTAAGAGTAATGACTGCTCTTCCAGAAGCTGGGTTCAACTCCCAGCACCCACATGGCAGCTCACAGCTGTCTGTAACTCCAGTTCCAGGGGACCAGACACCCTCACACAGAGATATATGCAGCAGGCCAAACACCAATGCACATGAAATTTAAAAAATAAACAAATAGGCCAGGCAGTGATAGCGCACGCCTTTAATCCCAGCACTCGGGAGGCAGAGGCAGGAAGATTTCTGTGAGTTCGAGGCTGGGCTGGGCCGACAGCCTCCAAAACAATACAGAGAAACCCTGCCTCGTAAAACCAAAATAAACAAATAAACAAACAAATAAATAAGAAAAAGGAGCAGGGCTTACTTGTTTAAAAAAAAAAAAAGATTTAAGAACAAGTAAGATCCCGTGCATGCGTAACTGGCCCTGAAGTTAACTTCAGGCAGGTGAGAGTTTGGTGCTAGAACTTGAGCTTGTGTGCTAAGACAGAGCAGAAGGCACTTCTAACAGCTGAGCCATCTCCCCAGCCTTAGATTCCAAAACAGCATTGTAATTCTACCTATACCTGATTTTATGATACAAAGTCTAAAGCATAAAGTAACATACAATTAGTAATTTCTTTTGTGTGAAGCTAAATGTCAAGAATCAGATAAACTAAGCCTTTAATCCCAGCATTTGGGAGGCAGAGGCAGGTCTACAGATTTAGTTCCAGGACAGCCAGAGCTGCAGAGAAACCCTGTCTCAAATAACCAAAATAATCAGATAAACTAAGAAAATGTAAATTCTCTAAAACATTAACACAAAGCACAATATCAAAATATTTCACATCCTCTAACGCAAAACAATATCTATAACCTAGATTTTTTTGTTTGTTTGTTTTTTTCAGACAGGGTTTCTCTGTATTGTTTTGGAGGCTATCCTAGAACTCCTCTGTAGACCAAGCTGGTCTCGAACTCACAAAGATCTGCCTGCCTCTGCCTCCCGAGTGCTGGGATTAAAGGCATGTGCCACAAATGCCTGGTTTAACCTAGACTTCTTAATGCTTATGCTGTCTGCCGAACCAATAAAGATCTGCCACACAGAAAGCAAGGGCAGGAAATGACTTCATTTTCACCTCTGGTGCAGACGGCTGTCACATTTCAAATAAAAGTCTACACAGATTAAACATCCGGACTTAGCCAGCAACAGCAAAAATAGTTATTTCTACTGAAAATACTCTGCATTACCATCAGTGCACAGAATAAACACATTAACTCTCAGACCTTTGTCCTTCATGACTCTAGATTTCATTTATTAACCATAAATTTGAATAGTTCCACACATTTGTAAACATTTCCTTCTCCCAAAGATAATATCATTAGAGAATATAGGGAAATTTAATTTAATTTTATCTTTAAAAATCATTCCCATCAAAAAAAAAAATCATTCCCATCTAAATCATTTATTTCATAAGCAGTAAAATATACATTCATTTTTCTTTTCTTTTCTATTTTTTGGAACACAGTCTTATATAGCTCTGGCTGTCCTGTAGACCAGGCTGGCCTCAAACTCACAAAGATCTACAGCCTCTGCTTCCCAAGTGCTGGGATTAAAGCTATGCACCACCACTGCCTGGCTAGTTTTCTTTATCCACATTTCAAAGCAGGTCCACAAAAATAAGCTTTTTGCCCAAATATTTTACAACGACAGCTATTTTGCACAGTATGCTAGCCTCTGTGCTCTAAAGCTCACCTATTATCCAAACTTCCCAATGGAGAGGTTAAGATTTGTTTTGTTTTACCTTGCTTTGAGGAGACTTTTGGCTTTGTCATCCCAGTGCTCTGACACTGTAAGCAGTTCTTGCAGACGGGCCATAGCTTTCTCTACTGCTGAATATGGAGCCAGCCCTACCCCTAAGTCTATGAGTCGTCGCATATCATCCAACGAAAGGGAACTGGAATCTAGACAAGCCTGTTGCACCTCTTCTAGCCAACGGGCCTGTTCTAACCGAATACGAATCTCAGCAAGCTGTGGAAGTTCAACATCAAATTCAAAGCTGACATCAAGCAAGTTCTGCAGCTCGGCAGCACTAGGCATTTCCTGAGACAGTAGTTTCTGGCTTTGCTGCTGGAAATCTTCTACACGATCCAAGAGATCCTGAAAGCAAGCAAGCAAATAAAGTCAAACAATAGAAGTCATACCTTCAAAATAGCACTTCAGTACTTGACCTTCTGTCAAGTTTAAAGTCTGAAGTTCATAGCCTCTTTGGCAAGCCACATTATGTCAGTAAAAATATGAGCCAAAAAGGCAACACAAATGTCACCTATAACTAAAATGAGGTCATAACAATTTATGCCAACCCTAAGAATTAAGTTTTTATCGTGTTTTGTTTTGCATTTGTTTGTGAGGTTGTTCTACAAACCCACATGAGTCTATGTGCATGTGTGTATGGAGGGTACATGCACCTGTCCAAGCATCCGTACTTGTGAGGACCACAAGAGGCATTAAGATTAGAGTCCTCTATTTCTCCAAGGCAGGCTTTCTCCCTGAACCTGGGCTCATATATTTTCAGTCAGGAAGCCAGCAAGTCTTGGCAACAATCATGTTTCTGGGCCCCCTTAAAACTGGGGTTAAGAGGCACATGAGGCACATAATAGATTATATGGAGGCTGGAATCCAACCTCTGGTCCTCATGGTTGTATAACAAGAGCTCATTCATAATCATAATCATGGAACTATCTTTCCAGCCCCTTCGACTTACTATGGAACTTAGGCTGACTTCATATTTGTAACAGTCCTCCTTCCTCAGGACCTAATCATTGGAATTAAAAATGTGGGTCACCATGCCAGACTCAGTGGTCACTTTCATAGTGAAAATCTCCAACTTTATTATCTTCCCTCTGTTATAATCTCTCCTATGTACCCAATTATCTCTCAAGGAGAGCAGACTTGCAGTTCCCAGCACCATGCCAGGTTGCTCACTGGTAACTCCAGATTTAGTAGCTATGATACTCTTTTGGTCTCTCTCTGCAGATATAGGCATGCATACACGCACACAATTTAACCACTGAAGAGGGCTACTTAATAATGCCAACTGAGTTCACACAATATGGGATTTACCCCAATGTCCATCTTTATATGGTTACCTTTAGCAATGGTGTTTGACTAAGAACACATGGAAGAGCATACAATTGAGTCACAAACTGTCGGAGTTCATTCACAGTCAACTGATTCTGAGACTTTCCTCCACCGGATCGATACCTATAAAACAAGAGCCCAAGGAAGCTACATGAGAACACTAATGTTCATTACTCACAGGTCACAATATAACAGAAATCTTGGACCCAAAGGAAAAATTGTAACAGGTTTCTAAGTTCAGGTGCCACAGATTACCATCTCAAATAGTCAGAAATATGTACCTTGTTTGCCTTTTGCCATTAAGCAATTGTTGGGCAACAGAGGCACACTTTTCTGCATCCTGTGTGACTAAGCGAAGGTGACGCAGAAGATCATTGTCTGGGAATTTCTTCATTTCTGATTCTTCAATTAAAGCTTTAAAGCTAACAAGACCTAAAATAAACAACACATCATACTGTGATCATCAAGTTTATAATTAGTTACAAAACAAAGTGAACAGGAAGATCCCTCCACAAATGCAACATTATAGTTATTATGTATTAGACAATATTTATCTGATATGGGGGATGGGAAGGAACTGAACAAGTACTTAGAGTTGGTCTTAGAGAGGATCTAATGGGTTTAAAGATCTTTTTCAAGTGAAAATCAACTGATTTGTGAAAGAAAAACAATACGGATGTTACTGTGGTTAACCCATATTGTGGTCCTTTATTTCATTTTATAATAGACAAGAAACTGGTGATACTGCTCCCTCCCCATAACTGAAAAGGGAGGAAGTTACCTGCTGAACCACAGAAAGGTTTGAAAGAGATGGTAGTAGCAGTGATTGAAAGTAATGACAGGGGGGCTGGAGAGATGGCTCAGAGGTCAAGAGCATTGGCTGTTTTTCCAGAGGACCTGAGTCACCATGTGGTTGCTGGGAATTGAACTCAGGTCCTCTTGTAAATTCAGTGATTACCAGAGAACAGGCACATGCACAGACAGACAGGCAGGCAGGCAGGCACAGACAGACAAGCAGGCACAGACAGACAGGCAGGCATGCAGACACATATAAAATAAAATCTTTTATGAAAAAATAGGAAAAGGTAATGATCAATGTCAGGGATACCAAACTTTGATTAGGACTGGAAATATTCATAGACATCTAATTATTAATTAATATTGCCTTTCAAATAATCTATTTCTTAAAATAAAATACTAAAAAGTTGTTATATTTTCTTAAGACTTTTTTCTTTTATTTAGTTGTTTTGTTTGAGACAGGGTTTCTCTATAAATAGCCATGCTTATGCTGGAACTTGCTTTGTAGACCAGGGTGGCCTTGAACTCAGATTTACCTGCCTTTGCCTCCCTACTGCTGGAATTAAAGGTATGAGCCACCACATCCAGCTTGATTTATTTTTATGAGTATGGGTGTTCTGTCTACATGTTATCTATATAACACATGTATGCAGAAGGGGGCACTGTATCCCCTAGGATGTGAATAATTAGAATGGAACCCATATCCTCTGGAAGAGCAGCCAATACTCTTAATCTCTGAGCCAACACTCCTTCCACACTAGCATGAGTTCCAGCGATCAAATTCAAGATCACCAGGCTTGTGTGGCATGTACATTTTCCCTCCACTAGGCGTTTAAGGGAGATAGTTATCTTTTAAGGAAAAAAAATCTCTAGCAGGGCAGTGGTGGCACATGGTTTTAATTGCAGCACTCTGTTAAGTTCCAGGCCAGCCTGGTCTACAAAGTGAGCTCCAAGACTGCCAGGGCTACAAAGAGAAACCCTGTCTTGAAAATACTAAAAGGGGAGGGGGAAAAAATAACAAAAAAACTGTTTATAAGGGTGAAACAAGACTGTTTTCAGTCATCTGTTTTGTTGATAAAGTTGGTGCAACAAAAATCCAACTCCACTTTGCTGGTTACAAATCACACTCTCTGCATTACATACTTTTCTTCTTGTTGATCTTTGCTTCTAAAGCTTCATTCACATTTAAAGACCATTCATTGTAAGACTCTGCTCGAAGCTTCAATGCATTCATCATAGGATAGAGATCATCCAGAGTGTATCTATACCTGGAAACAGAACACAAACAGCTTTGAGACAGTGACTGTAGAGAAAGACTGCTAATAGAGATGTCATTGAGCTTTTTAATAAAGACAGTGTGGACTGAGAAGATGACTCAATATGTAAAGCATTTTCCAATCCCCAAAACCCATGTGTGGTGGTGACTATAAACGGCCCCTATAGGCTCATGTATTTGAATGCTAGGTCATTAAGGAGTGGTGATACTTGACAGGTATTAGGAGTTGTGGCCTTGTTAGAGGAAGGTGCCACTGGGGCTGGGCTTTGGGGCTTCAAATCCTTAAGTCAGGCCCAGTGTCACTCTCCTCCAGCCTTTGGATCCTGATGCAAAACTCTCAACTACCATGTCTCACTAAGGCTACCTTGTTCCCTGCCATGAAGATAATGAACTAAACCTCTGAAACTGTAAGCAAGCCCCGATTGAACGCAGTGCTGTGATATGCCTCTACCACCCCAGGACTGATACAATGACATGAAGTGGAGACAGGAGACTCCCTGGAAGATAATGAGTCATCCAGGTTGGCATACACAGTCAAGAACAGAGAAAACTTACCTTAAACAAGATGGGAGGCCAGAGATAACACCTGAGGCTGTTCTGACTCCACAAGCACACTGTGGCACATACATAACCACATTCACACATGAATATGATCCCCCCTCTCTCTCACATACACACACACACACCATAAATCATAAATATACACATATGTACATGTACACACAAAGAATAAAATAAATGATTCAATGCTTTCCCAAAGTAGGAGAAAAAAAACAAACCCCATCCTTCATACTTACCGCAGGTTATACTTATAAGGGGGACAGGAACACAATTCTTTTACATGATGTAAACAAACAAGCAGACCAGGTTTACAAGAGCAGGAGATGGCAGACATGAAGCATGTTGTTTTGCATTTTATACACTGCCGCTCATCATCTGGCAACAACTCAAAATCCATTCTTTCTGAATCAATTACTCCCTAAAATTAAATATACATTAGAGGCTTTGAAAGGATAGTACAACCTAAAAGACCAAGTATGCACAGAAATTTTTAAAGCCTTAGTAAAATACATAAGCATGATTTAAAACTATATGGGCTACCGAGTAACAATATCCTAGCATGTTAATAATCCACTTGTTGCAGGGCCGTGGTAGTGCATGTCTTTAACCCCAGCACTCGGGAGGCAGAGGGAAGCATATCTCTGTGAGTTAGAAACCAGCCAGGTCTACAAGAGCTAGTTCCAGGACAGACTCCAAAGCCACAGAGAAACCCTGTCTCAAAACAAAAATCCACATGTCCAGCTCGAATCCCTCTTTGGATAAGGTAAGGACCCATGTCTAAACTATTTTGATCTGAGCATAAACAAAGTAATTGTGGAATTAATACTACTACTGAGGTTAGCAGCCCATCTTACCCTAAAGTTACCTTATTTAAGTCTGAACATAGATAGGAGAAAAAGAAAGATACACTATCACAGAAGAAAAAAATGCCCACAATGCACAAAGCTAGATTTCATCCCTAGCATCTTCCTCAAAACAAACAGAGGAGCTGGAGAGATGACTCTGTGACTGAGAGCTCTCCCAAAAGACTGTGGTGTTCAGCACCTACGCCTTCTTTGACCACCCCCTAACACACACTTTAAGAATAAAAAAGGTTTTAAAAATAATAATACAAAGGAAAATGGCTATGTAGGAATTGTTGACTTGTCTCTTAACCATTTATACAGAAAGCTACCTGAAGATACCATTATCTGAGTAAGTAAGAAAATGTGTAATTCAGGAGGTAATAACCTCATTAAGAAAACATTTTAGAGCCGGGCGTTGGTGGCGCACGCCTTTAATCCCAGCACTCGGGAGGCAGAGGCAGGCGGATCTCTGTGAGTTCGAGGCCAGCCTGGACTACCAAGCGAGTTCCAGGACAGCCTCCAAAGCTACAGAGAAACCCTGTCTCGAAAAACCAAAAAAAGAAAACATTTTAAAGTCACAAATACTTCCTAAATGAACAACTTAGCTCAACTCTATCTCATCCCAGATGACCTCTAGAAGACCAAACTTAAGCCAAACTATGTCTTTTCTCACCTGCACCCAAACTCAACTTTAAGACTGCCAATTCTGGTTAACTCAATCTATGAGTCATTAGATTCCTTTACTTTACTTTAATATTGCAACCATTTCTAAAAAGTCAAAGAAGACAAGACACAAAGCATAAAATGCTAATGAATACATTTGTCATAGTAATCATGAGCAATGGAAAAGAACATCCTTGTCTGGAGAGAGTTGAGATTAAAGACCAAAGACAAACTCTGAATTTTAATCAAGAATGGAAATCATGTAGTTTATACACAATTTACAAAATTTCCTAAATGTCACCTTAGGGGGGAAAAAATAGTTCTCCAAGTTGCAGAAATTAGCCACCATTATATCTTATGTAATATTTTGATCTTGAGAATTTTCTACCCAAGTACTTTAATTACATCTACCCCTACTACAATACCCCCCCCAAAAAAAAACCCCATTTCCTTGTTTTATCTCCATTTTTTGGTTTGTGCTTAGTAACTCAGTAAGTCCAATAAGTGCTGCCATATGTACATAGAGTATGGGGTCACCCACTGGAGTAGACAACCTCTCACTGGTCCATTCCCTAAGAAAACTCAATCACTCTCCCTCCTCTAGCAGCTATCAACTGCTTAACTGCTCATCAGCTAGAGGTGGAACCACAGCAGGCTGGAATTTGGTCTTAGGTAGTTCTTCTGCAGGTAATCACTAGAGCTACCATTATTAATATAAACCTCAGCAAGTCACTTAAAACCACTAGGCATTGCTTTCTCCAACTATAAAATATCAGGGGACAATGGATAGCCTGCTGTGGTTCATTATGGGCTCTGAATAGTCAACATTCCAATATTCTACTCATCGTGGCATATAAAAACAAAGTAGTACTCAGGTCAATTGGCATAGCTTCTGCAGAAACTAGTAAGGAAAAGAAAGCTTCTTAAAACCATAGTAAAGTACAAGAACTTTAGTGAATCAGTGACAGGGAACTGGAATGTCAGAAACCTTACCATTTTACGCACAGTCTCCCTTAAAGCTTTTTCATCCTCAATCATAATGGCCATGTCTTTCTGAACAGTTGACGCCACTACAACATCTAATACATCAGCCTTGGAAGCCATTTTGCATATCATTTCATCATGGGAAAAGACACAATACCGGTGTAACAGGCGATAATGCTCCACACACTGGCGGCCCAATGGTAGCTGTGTCACAAGCAAAAGAAATATGACATATTTCCCTTCTTTTTTAATTTCCAAAAACTTTTGACTTACTATATCATATTACCAAATAATGAAATCTAGATCAAAACAACTATCAATCATCAACCCTAAATCAGACTCAGAGTCCTGGGTCTATTTATCTTTGTTCTATAAAGATCTGGCACATTAGGTAACTAAGTAAAAAACTGTTTAAGGGGAAAGTGTATGGACAATGAATTAAAATGAGTAATGTGGAGTCTAACTAGAGATATATGTACATTTTCTCAAACAACTGTGCTGAACCACCAGACTTAATTTACTTCAGGGGATAATTAATATATTCAAAATGTATTACAGTGGACTAGTGCTTTTTCAAGAAAAGCAATAGATGGTGGCACATTGCCTAAATCCCAGATCTTGTAGTATAGAAGCAGGCCATCCTCAACTACACATCAGATTTTTAAGAGACCTTGTCTCAAAACAACAAACAGAAAGCTACAATTCACTATATTTTATATCACATATAACCTTGACAGCTCTAACAATTTCAACTCTGCAATGAACTGAAACAAACATGTCATTCAACTGCTGCATTGTGGGGATAATTACGCAAATACTAGTAAGTTTTCAAACTGTAATGTCTGTTACTAGTTTGCAACTTTAATAAAGGTTCCCTGTTAAAAGTCATCAGACTCTGATCTTCAGGAAGAGTCTTTTACAAGTAAGGTTCCCTGGGGCTCTTAGCATTGGCAACATTGAAAAAAAACAAAACCACTTCTTTATCCCTAAAAAGTTCATTTAAAACTTGTACAACTTTAACAAAAAGTGTCTTGAGGCTGGAGAGGTGGCTCAGCAGTTAAGAGCAAGTACTGATTTTTACAGAGGTCCAGAGTTCAGTTCCTAGCACCCATGTAAAAAATATAATGCCTCCTCTGGCCTCTACTGGTCCTAGCACATGCCTGTGTATGTGTAGAATCTCACACACTCACTCTCACTCTCTGTCTCTCTCACATACAGACACAGAAATGATAAGTTTTAAAGAAAGAGAGAAGGGTCTTGCTACAAAAGAAATATAATGTCAATTAAAAGAAGCAGTGTGGTACATGTCTGAATTGTCATACAATGTGTTATAAGTACCCTATCTCATTGTATATGGATGGGAAAAAAAATTGCATAGTAGCCAGAAGAGCATCAAGTATACATGACGGTTTCTAAAACACTATATGCTATTCCCATGGGAAATTGGTAGATATGAAAAAGCTCAAATTCTTAATACCTACCCAATCCACAGTGCAGAAGTTAACAGCCTCGGCAAAATTAAAACCTTGGTTGAAACCACTGTGATAGGCTCTTGGAAAGGTGATCACAAACTCCCCCGCACATTGATTTGTTCGATAAACCTACAGAGACAGGGACGAGACATTTAAGGTCTGACAGTAACATTCTCAAAGACAACTATTAGATGATTCACCAGACAAACAGGAGAGGACTGGACACACATTTGTAGAGACATACCTATTATCAATTAAAACTGAGGAGAAAAAAAAATTACTGCAGTACAATTACCTGATTCTAACACAATAGAACTAATTAGTGTCTGATATAGCCTACATCTGTCTTTACAGATACAATCAGGAATGTCCTAAGGCTCAGCAATAGTGAAGCAGAGACAAGCAGATGCCTGTGAGTTGGAGGTCAGTCTGGACCACATAGCACTGGGTTCAATTCCCACCACCACCATCAAAATAGTATGCCATTTTGGTTAATCATTTAAAATTAAGATCATGAGATTCAGTAAGATTCATTGTTCATTATTCTTTATGGAGTGGTGGGAATAAAATTCAGGACCTGTGCTTATTAGTCAAGCACTCCACTGAACAATGTTCTTACCCAAATCCTTCTTTTCGATAAGAACAAGACATCAAGAGAAAAATGGCTGAATAGTTAAGAGCACTTACTGCTCCTGCAAAAGACTGGGTCAGTTCCCAGCATCCACATGGCAGATCACAACCATGTGTAACTCTAGTTCCAGGGGATCCAGTATCACTTCTGACCTCCAAAGACTACTTATATAGATGGTGCACATAAAAACATTCAGGAATACATACAAATACATAAAATTTATCAAGATTTTAAAACCAGAGTTTTGATATAATTGTTGGCTGAAAGTTATAACAAAATTTACAGTACAGAAATCATTAGTGGTAATGGTTATACAACCTCCAACTATAGTGAATTGTACACTGAAAAGTACTGCATTCACATGCAAAGCAAGTCTGTTCAGCAATACAGGTATTAACTACAACAAATTAGTATGGTGTCTAAGCATCTGGTACATTGGGTTAGTGCTATGTAGCACTAAACAGCAGCCTCAATTATCAGGTTATATTTTGAAAATACCAAATAACTTTTTAAAAAGAAAAGAAACAAGAAAGAGTAATAGACCAACAGAGAAGTAGTGAATAAGCTGAGTAGCAGGATGATAACTCAGAACATACAGGCACTTCATGAGTCATCAGAGTATTGGGATTCATGATGGTCACAAGCTGGTGGAGCAGATCTGGCTGGGACACAAAGAGCTCTGGAGCTAGTTTCTTCATTACATTTTCTAGCTGCTCCGCAGCATATCCTGGAACTCCATACCAGGTTTTGGGTTCACCCCTACAAACAGATTATAAGAGTTGATCACTTTGTTACACCCACACACATACAAAGTTAAGCTGTTCACATTTTTCTGACCTACTTCAAGAAAGTAACATTAGAAATGTGAATGAAACCATATGTAGTGCATTTTCTCTTCAAGTACAAAAAAACTAAGACTTTGCATCTAAGGTGGTCATCATCCCAGATCCCACTATACAAAATGCAGATATCATAAGAGTTTCTAAGAATATAAAGAATCACATTTGCTAGAGAGCATACACAGTTACCACAACTTCCCCCATCAACTGTGGCAACCTTCCAGCTTCCTTTTCCCTTGCCCATTCTGCTGGAAAAGGTTTAGATCAAATACAAATAGGGCAATTAGCATTTCCAAAGAGCATTATTCTTCAAAGCACTTTCAATTGTCAGCCAATTAATCTGTGCCATCCCTGTGAGGTATAATAAACATCATCTTCCTGTTACAGCTGGAGCAATTGCCTAGGGAAGCAGAGCCATGTTGCATATCCATATGCCAACTTTCTCTTTCTTGTGGTACTCCTCAAATTCCTCTGGAGGATTAGAGTGGGTTATAGATTTTTAAAATATTTTTGTGGTTCAAAGTAGAAGAAATAAGGGGAGTGGAAACAGATATGGGGGGGGAATGGCTTTGGGTCAAAAGTTTAAATAGTAAAGTTCAAATGCCTGCACAAGTGAGAGGTCTAACATGTTGTGATGTTAGAATTCAACACAACAAAATGAAACTGACAGTCCCGAGGACCTTCTCCTCCCTAAAGGAATATGGGCTACATATACTTTACTTCAGATAAAAACTATACTATTCCTAGAAACATTCTATACTTTCAAACTAGTATATGATTTCAGAGGACTTTGCAGAAGTTTTCTAAACTGTCCTAAATAGGAAACCTAATCTAATAAAAGTTAAAGCAAAAAGAGCCATTACCTTCAGACATAGACAATGCATATCTGAAAGAGGTAAATTTTCCTACCCAGCTTATATACTAACCATAGGCTTCCTATAGAATTCCTTACCAGTGTAGGTAGTTGATTGAATAGCTCCAGTGGTCTTCAATATGCCAACAGAAGGAAGAAAAGCACATGCCCACATACAACCAAGGGAGTTTCATGCCACATATATCAGCAGTAATATGAGCAAGTACAGACTGCTCCATCACTGGCATATTGTTCAAATTCCACCCACTGTCGAGATACTCCTAAAATGAGCCAGAAAAAGAGAAAAAGGTTTCAGCTTTATCATGCTAACAGTTTAGAAATGCTTGTTCCTTTCTTATTTATTTACATCAGTGGGGTGGTGGTACAATGTGTGTAGGTACTCAAGGAAGACAAAAAAGACATCAAGTACTCTTGACATAGAGACAAAGGCAACTGTGAGCAACCTGACCTGGGAGCAGTAACAGTCCAGGTCCTTTGCAAGGAAAACACTTACTCTTAAAACTGCGGAGCCATTTCTCCAGCCCCTAGAATTCCACTCCTAAAGGTTGCCTAAAGAGCTCCTTAGGGGTAGAAGTAGAGATGCCGCTATGATGATCACTAGCTCTGGTGATCATCCTGGTTTAAACATTAAATAAGTGGATTTGAACTGCCATTTTGGTTTTGTGATGTAGAACACCATGAACAGAGCCTAATTACATGAAGTTCAAAACCAGGCAAACTAATCTACTTCATTAGTTAGAAATTGGGATAGTGTAAGGTACGGTGGTTGTCCTGACAGAGAGAAGTGAGAAGATGAAAAGCAAAGAAGGAGAATCACATTATTATATCCTATTCTCTTGTTCTACTACTGCTGGTTACCCAAGTGTTCAAGTGTTCAGTTTTTGAAGACTAAAATCAAGCTGTATACATGATTATGTATTTCTCTGTATGTACATAAAATATAAAATGAACACCACAAACATACATACACATTAATCTAACTGCCCACAGTAAAGATGTAGAAATAGTCCAAGGGCATGAAAAGCAAGACACTCAAACATTAATGTGAGATAAGGCCTCAGATCCCTCAGGTTGTTTTTTAAAGGAGAACTCAAGGTTAGAACCTCAGGGAAAGGGTGGTAATAATGTTTCCTCATCACCATAGTGTAATGCATAATCAGGATTAGATTTTTTTGTTGTTGTTGTTTGTTTTTTGTTTTGTTTATACGAGACAGGGTTTCTCTGTATTGTTTTCGAGGCTGTCAGTCCAGCCCAGCCTCGAACTCGCAGAGATCCGCCTGCCTCTGCCTCCCAAGTGCTGGGATTAAAGGAGTGCGCCACCACCGCCCAGCAGGATTAGGTTTTTTTGAAGACCTAATTTTTTTTTTGAAAATATTAAAATCAGTAATAAAGACTATGCTGAGTAATTATAAATACCTCACGCTGACCAAACAGAATTTTAACATGCAATTTCCAAGGCACTGAGGATATCACTATTCCACAATTCTACTCTTCCAATCAAGGCTGTGCTTTAGATGCTGAGCTCCACATCATACCAAGTCCGTAGAGCTGAGCCTACCTCTTCCTCTGGGGAAATCTTGATTTTCCCATCTCGTACAGGAAAGCCACTGCCGAACTCCTTTGAAGCAATATCAGCTCCATACTCCACTGTGACATCTTCTTCAATAGTGCTTACCAGCCGCCAAAACTCCTTCTCTACCAGCTCTGTAGGAACCATCTGGAAGAATGAGGAAATTTAAAAGTAATTTTTCCATTCAGTCACAAATTATTTATGACTAGATAAAGGATGGGAATCACAGATTAATCTAGTAAGAAAAAATTCTGTCCATAATTTCCTATGGGTGACTCAAGTAATTCAGGGCACAACTCTATTTTGCAAAATAAATTTTACAATTAAGAACCATAAGAATTAAGAATTCATGTTTCCAACTAATCTGGGCTCATAGGGGCTCACAGACATAACTGACAACCAAGGAGCCCACATAAGACCAACCTAGTCCCTCTGTATATATGTTACAATTATGTAATATGGTCTTCTTGTAAGTACAGGGGCTGTCTCCAATTCTGCTGCCTGCTCTTGGGACTCATTCCTGCTACAGGATTGCCTTATACAGCCTTATTAGAAGAGAGGGTGCCTAGTCTCACAGAAACTTGATATACCACGACTGACTGATATCCATGGGAGACTTGTCCATCCATATCTAAAGAGAAAAAGGAGGAGCAGTTTGAGGGTTGCTGGGAGGATAGGAAACTTTAGTTGGAATACAATAAATGAAGTGAAATTAAAACAAAAAATTCACATTCCTTGATCACAAATCCAACTACAACTACAAAAAGAAGCCAAGGAAAGAAAAAGACCTGTTTTAGGCCGGATGTTGATGGTGCATGCCTTTAATCCCAGCACTGGGGATGCAGAGGCAGGTGAATCTCTGTTAGTTCGAGGCTAGCCTGGTCTACAGAGTGAGTTCCAGGACAGCCTCCAAAAAAAAAACAACACAGAGAAACCCTGTCTTGAAAAAAGAAAAAAGAAAAAGACCTGTTTTGTTTTGCTTTTTTTAATAATGTAAGATATACTTTTGTGTTTTGAGAAACATTTACTAAACCTGACACAAAGTAATATAGACAAACACGAATTAAAGAAATAAGGCTAGAACGATGGCCTGGTGGTCAAGAGCACACGCAGGATCTGTAACTCTAATGGCTTCTTCTGACCTTCATGGGTACTAAATACACACATGGTGCACATTCATACATACAGGCAAAATACTCCTCCCACATCAAAACCAAAGATGAATAAGCCTAGATTGTAATAAAATAAGAAATTGCAGACGACTGTTGCCTGGGTACATCCAACAATATAGTTAGTTATCAGAGTGTCAAGGAACTGTTCTGAGTAGAAGCAAATAACTTACATGTCTGCCTCTTAGTGTCTTCAGCTTTTAAGCAAAATAAAAATCAAGGAACAGATATCATAAGCCAGTGCACAGGACTGATTATGCAAATATATAGAAAAATACTAAAATTTACAAGAAGTCAAAATAAGACTTCAAATGGGATATACATTAAAAAAATATTTTGGGTAACTAAAAGCGAATGTTCATTACATAAAGGACTACTGGGTTCATAAATACATTGCTGGATTGCTGGAATTCCATAGAGATCAAAACTTTCATCTAGCCTCAGAATCATTCAACTTCAAAGATCTCATTTATGAACTGTTTGCTATGGCAAATATCCAGAATTATGCTAGAAACCATCTAATTTTATATTTTTTGATAGAATATTGAATGTCAAAAATACCGCTAATCTTTCCAAGTGAACAAGAAGTAAAAATGGAATCATATTGTAAAGTTTATAATCTAATGATTAGACAACATGTAATAAACATGTCTCCAAGACACAGTATACAGTGCACTTAAATGAAAACTTCCCAATACAAAGTATCATGGAATTCTATCTATTACATTAAACATTTTAGAAAAGAAGTTTCCTTCTGTACAATGGCTACCAGAACGAAACCTTTATTCAGTTCCTGTGACACCAGTGAATGGAGCCTTTCTTTCAGTAATGGTAGTTGCAGAGAAACTGTCTACAGTGTCCATGTTAACTCTTTTTCCTCATCAGCTATTTAAAAAAAAAAAATCAACAAATGTATAATTTGCCAGGTGTGATGGTGCCCCTATTATTCCCAACATTTGGGAGGCAGAGGCCCTTTGGATCTCAGAATTCCAGGCTATCTAGGGCTACATACTTGAGACCCAATCTCAGAAAAGTAACATAAAATAATCTTTAATCACAGCTTAGTGAGATAGACATGGTGCCAAGACTGACGACTTAAATTCAGTCCCTAAAAATACATAGTAGAAAACCAACTTCCACAAGTTGTCTTTGATTTCCAGATGTACGCTATTGCCTGAGTACCCCTGATACACACATATGTAAACTAATTAATTTAACAACAAAATTCTTAAAATTCTAAATCAAATTAGTATAAATCTACATACATGGACTGGCATGTTGAAGTAATCAGATTTAAATGAATCCGCCATTTCTCCAAACGTACGAAGAGTATAGTCCCTTGCTGCTTGTTCAAATCCAAATGCTTCTTGCGGCTTGCTGCATTCCTGCATAGGAAAAAGAAAATTAGTGTTCTAAGAGGCACTTGAAAATGCCCGAACCTCAAGTCAACAGTCTCAAGGATAATTTTTTAAGATTTAAGATTTTTTTCATTCTGTCTACAATACAAAAATTAGTATGTTTGAAGAATGATATTGTTTCATGGAATAACTTTTATTTGGTTCTGAACAAAAAAAAATGGTGTTTTGTTGTTGTTGCTTTTGGGTTTCTCTGTATAGCTTTGGAGCCTGTCATGGAACTAACTCTACACTAGGCTGACCTGGAACTCACATAGATCCACCTGCCTCTGCCTCCCCAGTGCTGGGGTTAAAGGCATGGACAAATACCTGACATTAAGATTTTTTTTTTTCAGATTCATGTATTATGTATACAGTGTTCTATCTGCAGGTCAGAGGCCAGAAAACAACACTAGATCTCAGTACAGATGGTTGTGAGGCACCATGTGGTTGCTGGGAATGAACTCAAGATCCCTGAGACATCTCTTCAGCCATCAACAATCACAATTTTTTTTAACTTTGATTTTCTTTCAGGATCAAATGTCTTCATAACTAAAAATGAGAGTAATAATGTTCAAGAATTTGGACTATAAAATCAACACAAAACACATCAAAATAGAAATTAATAACCAGATGGAAACAAAATAGCTCTCAGGCTGTGAAACTTTGTAAGATCTCTTTCCTATTCACTTCCAAGCCTAGTTTTGTTCATACTTAGGTATTATTGTTAAATCTAAAACCCATGGATGAAGGAAAAAGTTCCAAAAAATAGATTTCTTTCTCAGTCATTCTTACTTGAGCCAAACACTTAGGACACCTCCAGTCTCCCTTGGGAACATCATGGAGAGGGGGAATCAAGCAGAAAGTATGGTAACTGTCATCACAGCCATCACACAGGAGGAGCCGGTCTTCATCACTGCCACTGCCACATAAGAGGCATACATACAGGTCCACCTACAGCAAGGAAAGCAAAAAAAAAAAAAAAAGGGGGGGTTAAGCTATTATTTGACTTTGTGAATTTCTTTTTTCATTTTACTTATTCTGAGGATCTCCAGGTAACTCAAGTGGCCTCCTAACTGCTTAATTGATAAAAACCTTGAACTCCATCTATAAGTACTGGGATTATAGCCGTGCAGCATCATATCTGGTTTTTGTATGCTGAAGAATCCAGCTCAGTCTCAAGCATGCTACTTGGCAAGTGCTATACCAGACAGAAAAGAGCCAACACACCTAGGAGATATACATGCATATAATTTTAACTTAAACATTTTTGTGAGGCAGAGCAGTGGTGGCACACGCCTTTAATCCCAGCACTTGAGAGGCAGAGGCAGGCGGATCTCTGTGAGTTCGAGACCAGCCTGGTCTACAAGAGCTAGTTCCAGGACAGCCTCCAAAACAATACAGAGAAACCCTGTCTTGAGGAAAGAAAAAAAAAAAAAAAAAAGTCAGAAGTCTCTTTTACCACAGAGTTCCAGAGATTAAAATCTGATCAGTTTGGCATAAGTGTTTTTACCTAATGAGCCATCTCTGCAGCCCATCATAGTTTAAAATAAAAGTGCTACACCTTTTACAAGAAGTATTTCAAAGGTTGGAGAAATGGCTCAGCGGTTAAGAGCACTGACAGCTCTTACAGAGGACCCGGGTTCAATTCCCAGCACCCACATGGCAGTTTACAATCGCCTGAAACTCCAGTCTGGGGGATATGATACCCTCACACACATGCAGGCAAAACACCAATGTACATAAAATAAATAAACCGTAAAAAGTCTTTCAAAATCACGCGCTCCAAATTCTCACTTCTGAAATGAGATCGCCAAGCTCTCTCAATTATGTTATTATCTATTTATTCATTCATTTAGGTAGAAATAGTCAATACTTGGTAAGTTTAAGATAATCCCCATAGGTAATACATTATTAGCCACAATTAAAGATATTAAACAAATACTCTGTCTGGAATCAGGTGTAGTGGCACATGCCTGTAATCATGGCACTAGAAAGCTACGACAGGAGACCTAGGATTTCAATACTAGCCTGAGCTTCAGAGACGACTCATCACAGAAGAATAAGTTAAACAAAGCAACAGAGGCAGGTATATCTGAGCTGACAATCTGGTCTATGTTCTACGAGAGAGAGGAGAGAGGGAGAGAGGGGAGAGAGGGAGAGAGGGGAGAGAGGGAGAGAGGGGAGAGAGGGGAGAGAGGGAGAGAGGGGAGAGAGGGAGAGAGGGGAGAGAGGGAGAGAGGGGAGAGAGGGGAGAGGGGAGAGAGGGAGAGAGGGAGAGAGGGGAGAGAGGGGAGAGAGGGAGAGAGGGAGAGAGGGGAGAGAGGGGAGAGAGGGAGAGAGGGGAGAGAGGGAGAGAGGAGAGAGGGAGAGAGGGGAGAGAGGGAGAGAGGGAGAGAGGGAGAGAGGAGAGAGAGAGAGAGAGAGAGAGAGAGAGAGAGAGAGAGAGAGAGAGAGAGAGAGAGAGAGAGAGAGAGAGAGAGAGAGAGAGAGAGAGAGAGAGAGAGAGAGAGAGAGAGAGAGAGAGAGAGAGAGAGAGAGAGAGAGAGAGAGAGAGAGAGAGATATCCAGGACAGCCAGGACTACACAGAGAAACCCTGACTCAAAAAAATGGACAAACAAAATAAAATCCTACCACTTTGAACTCAATTCTAGAGTAGAAATGAGTGACTCCTGCTGATGATTCAAACCTGTATTCCCAGTACTTGAAGGCAGAGGCAGGAGGCATTGAGAAATTATGAGTTCAAGGCCAATGTCAACTAACATGAGTCTCCCACACCCCCAAAAGACAGGAAAAATTTTCCCAAATAACTATGATAAAGCATAGTTACTTATTAGTTACACAGGGGCTGAACTGTCACACACACACACACACACACACACACACACACACACACACACACACACACACAAAGTAAAAGATATTGTGGCCTCAGAAGAAACCAACTCTGCCAATGCCTTGAGTTTATATCCTGCAAAACTAAAAGATAGATGGATAGATAGATAGGTAGATAGGTAGACAGATAGACAGACAGACAGACAATGTTATTTGAGCTGCAGAATCTGTGATATTTTCTTGTGGTAGTTCCTTCTAACATATATATAACTTACTAACAGAAAGCTGAGTAGTCAACTAACAGAAAGGCTAACTTGTTAAATCTGTTTATAATAAAGGAAAAAAATCTTACTGCATGTTCTTGTATGTATGGTGGGAAAGGAACATCGAGATCATTTCCAATTTCCTGTCAGGATCTCACAGGGGAGGTCAAACTGATACTTTCTAATATGACAAAGGTGAAAATCTGCTTTTGTTTTTGGGGTTTTTGTTTGTTTGTTTGTTTTTGGCTTTCTGAAAAAAAATTCTCAACTCTGTAACCCATGCTAGGGTTTGAACTCTCACCATCCCCCTACCTCAGCCTCCCGAGTACCAGGATCACAGCACATCTAGCATAAGCACCACTTTCAACAAATGATCCAACTGAGTGCTAAATTCTCCAGCTTTCACTATACCAAAAGGCCCCGAAGAATACTTTCCTTTAGTTCCTCTCCTCCTCATTCCTTTTACCCCCTTGCTAGTTTTTTTTTTTTTTTGGTTTTACGAGACAGGGTTTCTCTGTATTGTTTTGGAGGTTATCGGTCCAGCCCGGCCTAAGACTCACAGAGATCCACCTGCCTCTGCCTCCCGAGTGCTGGGACTAAAGGCGTGCGCCACCACCGCCCGGCCCCCCTTGCTAGTTGATCTACCCTTCAGCTCCTTTGCAGGTAGGCTAATGTTTTGTAACTCTCCAGTACAAATTGAACAAATTCCAGAAAAACTGTAACTGCTACTGCTTACTAGAATCAGGTTATTTCCTTACTTATAAATTGATTAAATAGCCAGGTGGTGGTACCAAATGCCTTTAATCCCAGCACTCCAGAGGGAGAGGAAGGCAGATCTCTATGAGTTTGAGGGTAGCTTAGGTCTACAAAAGTGAGTCCCAGGACAGGTTCCAAAGCTACTTAAGAAAAAACCTGTCTCAAAATTTTTTCTGATTAAACAGACATTAAAATCTTTCCTTTCTTGATACTAAGTAATGTACATAAGCATACAATTATAGGTAAAGGGATTTTCGTAAGTATTCACTTATAGGCAGGGGAATGGGCTAGGGATGAAGTTCAGTGGCAGAGTACTTATTTAGTATATACAAGGCCTGAGTTCCATAAAAAAAAATATGCTACTTATTTAATTCCCAGAGCTGGGTATGTAGCTCAGTAGCAGAGTGCTTGCCTAGAATGTGCCAAGTCTCTGAGTCTAATAGCCTCCCCCACAAGTGGTGTGGGGGGAGGGTGGACTTCTATAATCCCAGCTACTCAGGAGGCTAGAACAGAATTACAAATCCAAGGCCACCTTGACTATGGAGAGATCTTATTTCAAAAAGAAAAAGAGTAAGCAATTAAAGAAGAAAATGGAGGTCAACTCACAGCACTGGTGGTTTTTTTAGATCGGCTCTTGGGCTTTTCCTTCTCACTTTCTAACATGCAGTCTTTCTTCTCAGTGGGTTCTTGCTTGATGCTACTTTTCATTTCTTTCTCTACAGGAGGCAATCCAAAGTTAGTTCTCTCTGTGTGTACTATGCTTATCTGCTTCCTATCTCACCTTGTCTTTTCCTCCTCTCCCCGCATAAACTATACACAAATGCAATCCCATGTTTGTTTTCACTTCAGTAACACCTAGTATTCTACATACAAGAGGTCAATACTGATTATGACAAAATATAAACTGACCTCCATTAAATTTTAGCATGTGAGTTCTATTATAAATGATGTGTGTGCCTTCAAAATAGGAACGTTCTTTAAGAATAAGACATGTGGCCAGGCGCTGGTCGTGCACACCTTTAATCCCAGCACTAGGGAGGCAGAGGCAGGCGGATCTCTGTGAGTTCGAGACCAGCCTGGTCTACAAGAGCTAGTTCCAGGACAGCCTCCAAAACAATACAGAGAAACCCTGTCTCGAAAAACCCCCAAGAGATGATTTCCTGGTTCCAAAACCTGGTAATTTTGGCTAAAGCTGAGTTATCAATTATTCAAGGATCAAGTGATTCATTCACAACAAACTCATCTCAAAGATGGTTAAAGAATTATCTCTATAGTCACACAACTAGTTAGAGGTTGAGTCAGGACTCAGACCCACAGCTGTTTACTTCCCATTATATTGTGCTGCCTTTTCACTAACACATTATTGTCTCTGAAGAGCTCATTTTAGTACTGCATTTGTATATGCCCACATGTATATATGTAGTATTTATCCTATGTGAAACACAAATTTACATCTAGTCAGGTGTGGTGGCACATTCCCATAATGCCAGCACTTGGGAGACGGCTAAAGAGTTTGAGGCCAGGCAAGAATACCTTAATTTAAAGAAAGAAAAGAAAGGGGGAGTGCAAGGGAGAAGGGAGAGAGAATGGGAGAAAGAAAGCAGGAAAAACAGCACCTATCTCAATAGATCATATCAAGTGACAGCCATGCAAGGATTATCAATTCAACTGTAAACTAGATAAGGTCTCGGCTTGGGTTGAAATAAAAAGGAACCTATACTTTTCAAGTTGTCTTTTAAGTGAATTTATTGACTAAATTTCTAAGCAGCAGCTAGATGCAGCCAGATGAGAAATTCACCTGTATTCGAAATATGCTTTTCCTGCTAGCCTGTTAGTTGTGAAAATAAAAACAATATATTATGATTTTATTTATCGAATCCAGACAACTGACCAAAGAAATAATTGCTATCATCATCCTATTCATGGGTAAACTTTCTTACCATTTTCACATTTTGGAGTTGGACAACCCATTCGGCGTCTCAGATTATGAGTCCTGGCTTCTGTTGCTTCCTCTGGTTCTATTTTAATATTCATGGCCTAAAAAAATTATCATATGTATGAATATTTTCTTATATCTCTTACTACTCAGTAATTCAAAAGATAACTTTTTTCTCCTATTAAGAGATCACATTCTTGAAATTACACAAACTAGAAGAGTATTCTCCAGTAATACAGATTTTCGGGGAAAAAATTGGTATCAAATTAAGAGCTATATTATTACTCAAAACAGATATAACAGTCTCATTTACCTCAAGAAGCTTTTGTTTTAATCATTACTAAACCTGAAACAATTATAAAAATATCACAATTTCCTTAACATCTAGTTTCCATAATTTTCAAATGATTTTTTTTTTTAAAGACAATGAGTGTCACCGGCTAGCCTGGCCCTTGCTACGTAGACCACGATGGGCTCAAATTCACACAACTGCTTGCCTCTGACTCCTTACTGCTGAGATTAAAGGTGTGCACCACCATATGTGTATGTGTGGCAGAGTATACATATGCCCATATGTGTGGGGATCTTACAGACTAGAAGAGTCATCAGATCCCCCTGAGCTGGAGATAGAGGTGGCCTGTGGGTTGCTTGATGTGGGTGCTATAAATCAAACTCAGGTCCTCTGCAAGACAAGTATAAACTTAACCAGTGGGCCACCACCCTAGCTTCATCATTATTTTGGTTTTTCAGTATAGCCCTGGCTATTCTGGAACTTGCTCTGTAGACCAGCTGGCCTCAGGCCCTGCCACTAGTACTAGCATTCAAGGAATGTGCTGCAGCAGCCGTCACAACCACCCAGTGCTTCACTGGTATTTGCATGAATCGGCATTATAAATTAGACCTCTGGGGCTAAAGAGATACACTGGCTGCTCTTCCTGAGACGCTGGGTTTGATTCCCAGCATCGACATGACAGTAACAACCATCTTTAACTCCAGCCCCAGGGAACCACACACTCCTTTCTGACCTTCATGGGTACTGTACTCACATGGCACACAAACATACATTCAGGCAAAATATTTATACACAAAAATAAAAGTTTAAAATCTCAAAAAGTTTTACCTGTAACACCACTAACTGTTAAAAAAAAAACTACTTTTTCAGTAAGGATATATAACTCAATCGCAGTTCTACTGTTCCTTAGAATATTATTGGTAAAACAAATAAAAATCCCTTTGTAGTCTATAACTGAAGTGTTTGTAAAACACTTGTTCAGAGCTAAAAGAATTTCTTCTGGGGCTGGAGAAATGGCTCAGGTTTTAAAGACTAGACTCACAATCAAAAATATAAGAATTTCTTCTGTGGGTATTATCATTATATTTGGTATCATCCAGGTAGACCCAGGCATTCACAGTACCAGGGAATGTCTTACATATACAAACGCCCAAAATAAATCATGCATGGAACACACCTATGTTCCTAGCAAATGGAAGTCTGAGGAACAGGATAACACAAGTTCAAAGTCAACCTCAGCTACACAGTGTCACAAAAGTCAAAAAGAATATGCTCAAAATTAAAAGTTGTTAGATTAATGAGCTTTAAATGTACATATGAGTTTTAAATAATAACTTCCGATTCTGACTAGTTTTCATTGAGAAATTTAGATTCTCTAAATTCTACATGTGAAAAAAATCATTTTGTCAGTGAATCTGGAAGATTGATTCAGAAGCACGGATACTGCCTTGCAGCTCCTCAGCAGTTGAGTTATTTACTAAAATTCACATCCTATCAAGCAGCTAAACAGAAATCCAAATTCCTCATGCCTCTCTATGGGAACAAAGTAAGTAGAATATTCTTCCTTTCTGAACAGAGAAAAGATCATCTTAGCAGCCTTTCCTCATGGCCCTCATATCATATTCACTTAATACTAGTACTTCCTTCATACTTCTCAATTCTTCCTTCATTCTTCCCTCTTCTTAGCATAGATATGTTCTGATTCCATACTTACTATGAACAAAGTCCCTGTCTTCACATAATCCACCCAATTGGTTTTGATTAGTAACAACAAAGCACTTTCCAGGCAATATAGAATGAGTTCTTCTATTCTCCTTTGAGGACAACACCATCCCTGGTGTAAGTAACCCTTTATGAGACTACCTAGGCTCAAAACTACAAAGCACTTACTTACAGATGAGAGAAAGTCCTTACCTCTGCTCTCATGCGCTTTGCTCGGCGAGCTGGAGGACAGGTTTCTGAGGGCTGTACCGACTGCCTCTGTGGAATATCGTGGGGTTTGTATTCCTTGTCCTTTGTATCTGAGGTCAGATTAGGCTTTTGAAGACACTACAAATAAAACAGTTGTATCAATGAATTTTCTTCCCCTATAACTATTTTTATATGTAGTTAACAGCACATCTCTTTTTTGCAGGGGAGGGGTTCAAAATAAGGTTTCTCTGTGTAATAGCTCTGGCTGTCCTGAAACTAACTTTGTAGAACAGGTCGGCCTTGAACTCAACATAGATCCACCTGCATGTGCCTCCGTAGTGCTGGGATTAAATGTGTATGCCACCACAGACTAGTGGAAACACGGTCCTTAAAGCACAGCTGTAAAAATGTCCCCATAGAGCCGGGCGGTGGTGGCGCACGCCTTTAGTCCCAGCACTCGGGAGGCAGAGGCAGGCGGATCTCTGTGAGTTCGAGGCCGGGCTGGACCGATAGCCTCCGAAACAATACAGAGAAACCCTGTCTCGTAAAAAAAGTCCCCATAGGCTCCTATATTTGCAATACTTGTTCCCCCACTGATGGCCTTATTTTGGGAGATTATATGTACTTTAGTAGTTGGTGTCTTTCTGGAGAAAATGTTGATCATCAGGGGGTCAACCTTATGAGCTCTAGGTGTGTTCTAATTATAATCTATGCCCTCCTCTGCTTCCTGCTCCACCATGAGGAGTCCTAACCACACCACCCCATTGCCATGACTCTACCATGCCTTACAGCCATGACACACTGACTGTGGCCCAAATATAAACCCTTCCACCTTAATTTCCTTGTCAGGTGTACAGTCACAGTGACAAGAAAAACAATTCAGTTCTGATCAGAAGTTTCTTTTTGCTTTCATTTTTTAGTTTGATCCTAACCTGACAGAAAGATATTTAATGACAAAACCTAACACAAATTATTACTGAAGCTAATATGAATTTCTCAAGTATGTACTTCTTTTTCATAAAGAACAAATATCACGAGAAGGGTTTTCAGAAAGATTTTGTGTTATACAAGCATTTTGCCTACATGCATGCATGTGTACTGTATACATGCCTAATGCCTGAGGAGGCCAGAAAAGGGCATCCGATTCCCTGTTACTGGACTTACAGATGGTTGTGAGCCACCATGTGGGTGCTAGGAAATAAACCCAAAGTCCTCTGAAAGAGTAGCAAGTGCTCTCTCTTAACCACTGATCTACGACTCCAGCCCCAATAAGAAGCATTTTTAAAAGCAGGTTCCAAAATGCAATTATCTAAATACATCTGAGGTATGCTACATAATTTATACTTGGCATGGGATACATGAAATATACTATTAACTGGGAATGTAGCTCATTCCATAGAGACAGCCAATCTCCTCCAGGGATCTTAGAAAACAGGATGATACAAGAGTAATGCTGTGTTCCATTATGCCAACACACTTCTTTTTCTTTTTTGGCCTTTGAGGCTGTGTCTCATGTAGCCTACGTTGACCTTGAATTCACTATATAGCCAATCCCTCTCCCCCTTCAAATATGGATGTTAATGTTTAGTGAGCCAAGGATGATGTAATTCATTTTGAGACAATGTCTTGCTGTATGAGTTACTATTGCTTCAGCAAAATACCCAACAGAAGCAACTTAGGCAAGTTTGCGTTTATAGTCCATTTTGGCAGGGAAGCATGGTCAGACGCATGCAGCGGTTGGTCACACTGTGTCTGCAATCAAGAAGCTTTTTCACTTATGCATCCTGGTAGTCCAGGGTATGGGATGGTGCTACCCACATTTAATATGATTCTTCCCACCTTAATTAACCAAATCTAGAAAATCCCTTACAGAATGCCCAGATGCTTGTCTTCCAGGTGATGCTATACCCTGCCAATCTGACAATGCATTAACCATCACAGTGTGCATCCTGGACTATCCTTGAACATGTGATTCTCCTGTCTCAGCCTCCCAAGTGCTGGGATGATAGTCTTGGACCATGTACTAGACTTTGGCCTCTGTCTTATAGTTAACATTTTATAAGTAGTTGCCCCATATAGATTAACTTTTCTATTTTTGAATTCGTCTATGTGTGGAGGTTACAGTGAGTAAGAGGGGAAAAAAAATCTTACCTAATTTATGAGTTGCAGCATTTTAGAAACTTGTCAGTAACCACCTTTTCAGTTTAGTTTTACAAAAAAAAAAAAAAACAAACACTTGAAAGCTGCTGTTTTTGTAATCCTAGCACACCAGAAGTTGAGGCAAAGGAATATTGAGAGTTCGTAAAAGCCTGAACTTATGTAATAGGATAAGCAAGCAAAGTGTAGGGATTTCCAGATAGATTTCATAAACATTGCATATGTAACTCAAATATTTGACCTACTATATACCAATATATTCTAAACATTAATGCATATTCTTTGTAGAAAGTTTTTGTTAAGAGGATTGAGGATACAGCTCAGTTGGTAGAGTGCTTGTCTCCTATGCACAGGACCCTGACTTTAATCCCTGACATTGGAAAAAGCTGGTTATAGTGGCACGTACCTGTACTCAGTCAGCAGAGTCAGCACTCTGTTATCAATTTTTCCATAGCACAGAATAGTTGCAATTACAGGATTTACTGCTTTATGTTTTAGTATTTAGAGTATCTCAAACAATGTAAATGGATTAAGACTCTTTTCTACTAGAGCCTTGAAATATGTAGGATAGTTTTGTAGCAGTTCCTTGAAACTAAAGAGGCATGCAGACAGGAACTGCAGAGAGAATGAAGTGTTTTCAGCATTAAGTCCTCTCTCCTTTACTAAACAGTCTATCTGACATCCTCCCTGGAAATCCCAGTCAGCAACTGTTAGGTCACTTAAATCACAAAAAGGGTGCTTTAATACTGTGTATCATTTTTTTAAATGAGCACATAATGACAGTGATGGCGTGTGCCAAAACCCCCTCCCCAGCAAAAAAAAAAAAAAAAAAAAAGTACGTAATAATCAAGTGCTATAGTGAAGTAAATAGATTTTGGCTGTATTTGACAGTAAAAAGGCATTTTCTTTACAATCTTATACATTCTAACACAATCCTTTAAGTACAATTGTTCCCCAAACCAAAGTACTGGAATTCTTTCTCAAAAACCATTCAACAATGTTTTCTGAACATGAATAAGACTGTCTGGTTTCCCCCAAAGACAATGTACCAAACAAATAAAAAACACATAAAAGAGGTCTAGCTCTAACACTTACCCTCAAACTGTCTCCGGAGAGGAATAAATTGTATGGATTGAGGATTCGTTCGTAATGTCCCCTGATGTGTGAACCAACAGCTTTTCCTGGAGCAAAACCCATCTTGGTGGCAATTTTGGTCCATTTTCTATCCTTGCAAACAACTGCAAAACCACCTTCTTCTGCAACTAACTGTTAACAACAACAAACAACAAAAATTACAAAAAGAGTATTAGAGGGCTGGAGAGATGGCTCAGAAACTAAGAGTACTGGCTGCTCTTCCAGAGGACCTGAGTTCAATTCCCAGCACCCACATGGTGGCTCACAACCATCTGTGATGAGATCCAGTGTTCTCTTCTGGCCTACAAGGATACAAGCAGGCTGAACACTGTATACACAATAAATAAAAAATAAATAAAAAATAAATAAATAAATCTTTGAAAAAAGAAAAAGAATAAGAGTATTAGAGAAAATTACTTCTAACACCTTGTTATGATTTTGTTATTATCTCTATCTATCTATCTATCTATCTATCTATCTATCTATCTATCTATCTATCTGTCTATCATGTGTACAGTCTTCTGCCTGCATGCCAGCAGAGGGAACCAGATCTCATTCAAGGTGGTTGTGAGCCACCATGGGGTTGCCGGGAATTGAACTCAGGACCTCTAGAAGAACAGTCAGTGATTTTAACTGTTGAGCCATCTCTCCAGCCCATGACTTTTTTTTTGGGGGGGGGTTCTCTGTGGCTTTGGAGGCTGTTCCAGAACTTGCTCAGGCTGGCCTCAAACTCACTGAGATCCACTTGTCTCTGCCTCCCAAGTGCATGTGCCACCACCACCTGGCCTTAGGTATGTTTCTAAGAACAAAATTCCCAGTTATATTTGTTGTTGCTGATTTGTTTTCTTTGTATGTTTTCCACTTCCTAGGTCAAAGGGAAAACAAACTACCAACTATTAATGTTATTTTATATATACAATGTTCAGCCTCGATATATGCCTGCATGCCAGAAGAAGGCTCCAGATCTCGTTATAAATGGTTGTGAGTCACTGTGTGGTTGTTGGGAATTGAACTCAGGTCCTCTGAAAGAGCAGCCATCTCTGTAGTCCTAAAATAGTTCTTTTGACAGTGTGCTGCACATATACTTCACTCTCAAACTACTTTTCTCACTGTCCCAAAGAATAAGGTTAACAAAGGAAAGCATTCCTCCACCACCAATATTTGGTTCTACTTTCTTATCCTAAAAATCTGTTTTTTGTTTTTTCCCGAGACAGAGTTTCCCGGTATTGTTTTGGAGGCTGTCCTGGAACTTGCTCGGTAGACCAGGCTGCCCTCGAACTCACTGAGATCCACCTGCCTCTGCCTCCCAAGTGCTGAGATTAAGGCATGAGCCGCCACCACCCAGCTAAAATCTGGAACCTAGAACTGAATTATGGCTCACATGTTTTAGCATAGTCTTTATCATTTCCCTGAGCCTTAGGTTTCCCTTATCTAAACAAAAATGAGAAGGACCCTTTGCAGCATTGAGATGTTTCAAAGGAAAAACAGATTGTAAAAAAAATCTATAAGGCTTACAGACTAGACAGGTAGAGCTCTGATCCTCAATATTTGTTTAACTAAAAAAAAAAAAAACTCACTTACCTATTTCAAAAAAGAAGCTGTCCAAAAACAACAACAAACAAAAAAAGCCAACAAACTAACAAAACCAAAAAACATGACTGAAATGACTTACAATGACAGTTGCCTGCACTTGCCTTATTAAGCTGGAACAAGTCTAAGATCTTCCTCTCCACATGGGGAATCTTCAGAGTACTTCCTTGTAGCTCCCAATACTTTGCAATCTGATCCAGAAAATTTAATTTTACCCGTGTTTGAGCCTAAATGTAAAAAAATAAAATAAAATTTAATCTCACCTATTTTTTTCCCTGTGGCATAAGACTGATCATAATCACAGCATAAACAATCTTACCCTTTTAATCCCCTAATTGGCTTAGACTCCTGGCATGTATGTACCTCTATACTTGGCACTATCTTATTTTAAAGCTCCTGCCTATAACCGTGTATTCTTTTCACTCTTAAGACTATTTAAGTACAAAACCAATTTTTATTTATTACTAAATTAAGTACAAGAATGTTTGCTAAGTTGTATTTAAAAAGTAGGTGCTGACTGTGTCTAAGGAAAATATCACTGTTAGTTTAAGTTGTAAGAGTTAGTTATTAACAAGCCTGAGCCATTGGCCAAGCATTTATAATTAATATTGAGTCACCATGTCAGTTATTTTGGAACCGGTGAGCAAGAGAGAAAAATCTGTCTACAAGCCTTGATAATTTAAAATAAAAAAAAAGATTAAATCTAAGTTTCAAACATAAAAGAAAATTAAGCCAGGTGCACACCTTTAATCCCAGCACTCGGGAGCAGAGGCAGGTGGATCTCTGTGAGATCAAGGCCAGCCTGGTCTACAGAGCGAGTTCCAGGACAGCCTCCAAAACAATACAGAGAAACCCTGCCTCAAAAAACAAAACAACAACAACAAAAAAAGGTAAATTATTATCAAAACTTAATTGCAATAATTATCATATAAAGATACAATAATTTATATGCATAGGGAAGGTTTTCTCCTTAATTTTTTATGTATGAAACTTAGATTTTAATTTCTTTTTATTTATATACATTGGTATTTGCCTGCATGTCTGTCTGTATGAGGGTGTTGGGTATCCTGAAAGCTGTGGGTGCTGGAAATTGAACCAGGATATTCTAGAAGAGCAACCAAGTGCTCTTAACTGCTGAGCCATCTCTGCAGTCCCAAATTTAACTTTTTTATTTTTTAATTTAACTTTTTTGAGACAGGGTTTCTCTGTGTATTAGTCAGGCTGTCCTAGAACTCAACTTTACAGACCAGGGTGGCCTGGAAACACAGAGATCCACCTGCCTCTGCTGGCTAGATAAGTTTCAAATTTTTATTTAGTTTATATGAATGGCTGTTTTTTGCCTGCATGTATGACTGCGCACTGCATATGCCATGCTTTCATTTCACTAAGACTGTAACATCAGTGACAGACTGATCTTTAAAGAGTAGTCCACTGGAACACAGACAAACAGAACAGTACCTCCAGTTCATTTAGTCTCTGGATCCGGGGGGTAAAATGAAGTTTATCAACATCACAGGCAAATGGTGGCTGCCAATCCTAGGAGAGAGCAAAAGCTATTAGATATGACTACTTAGCACTAATATTATTTTAAATTAAAAGCAAGGTTATACAAACTATCTCTTAACAGTCAAACAAAATATAACAGTGAGGTAGTTTTCAACCTTGTTTTCCAGAAATTTGATGTAATGATCTCTTTCCCCCAAATACCTCCCTCTATCCTGACCTAGTCCTGAGTCCACCCTCTATTGAAAAGTCACTGATTTAGGTAAAAAAATACTTTGACATAAGTATCTCTCTAATAAAAAAGTATACTATCAAATTATCTGTACACTTATGATTTTTGAGGCAGAGTTTCTCTGTGGCTTTGGAGGCTGGCCTGGAACTAGCTCTTGTAGACCAGACAGGTCTTAACTCACAGAGATCCAACTGCCTCTGCCTCCGAATACTGGAGTTAAAGATGTGCACCACCACTGTCCGGCTATCTGTACAATTGTTACATATGGAAGGAAAAGAAAAGTCAAGTGTGTGATTTATGCCTGCAATCCCAAGCATTCTGGAAACAGAAGCAGAAAGACTGCCATGAGCTCATTACAACAAGGCTACATGGTGAAATTCTGTCTCCAACGAAGGAGGGAGAGAGGGGAGGGCTGGGAAGTTGCCTTAGTAGGCATGAGGAGCTGAGTTCAGATCCCCAGAAGACAGACAGGCATGTACCTGTAAACCTACAACTGGAATATCAGAGAAAGGTAGATTCCTTGAACTCAATGACCACTAGTGTAAATGATGAGGGTCAGGTTCAGTAAAAGACCATCTCAAGAGGTATGGCAGAGGACTGAAGGGATACTTACTACCAAGTCTGAGACTCTAAGTTTTATCTTTATATACCTCATGGTAGAGAAGAGAACTGACTTCCACACATGCATGGTGGTATGCATGCAACTATACCCACACATACGTATTAAAGAACAGGATTTTTTTGTTTGTTTTTTTAAGGTAAAGAATGATGAAGGAAGATATCTACTAGAGCTGACTTCTGTCCTCCACACTTGCCCACATAGGCACAAGGACACACAAATACACCTGTGGGCATGCCCCCCCCACCCCCCAACATACTCGGCAGCATGCCTGAGGTCCTGGGTTTGCTACCTACCTAGCATCCCACAAACCAGGTGTGGCAGCACACCCTTGTAATCTCTGCATTCAGATGGAGGCAAAAAGAAAGTCAAGTTCAAGGTCACCCCCAATTATATAGCAAATTCAAGGATTTTCTTATGAAAAAAAATGTTTTTATCAGGATCAATCTATTCTTGACAGGATTTCTCTGTAGCTTTGGAGGTTGTCCTGGAACTCGCTCTGTAGACCAGACTGTCCTGAACTCACAAAGATCTACCTGCCACTGCCTGGGATTAAATGCATGCACCTAGCTCAAGTATCTATCCCTGCCGGTCAGTGGTGGCACATGCCTTTAATTCCAGCACTCGGGAGGCAGGGCAGGCGGATCTCTGTGAGTTCGAGGCCAGCCTGGTCTACAGAGCGAGTTCCAGGACAGCCTCCAAAACAATACAGAGAAACCCTGTCTCGAAAAGTCAAAAAAAAAATTTTATGTTAATCCCAGCACTTGGAAGACTGAGGCATGTAGATCTCTGAATTCAAGGCCAGCATGGTCTACAGATTGAGTTCTAGGACAGGCAAGGCTACACAGAGAAATCCTGTCTCAAAAAGCCCCCTGCCCAAAAATACAAATTATATATATATACATTGTTATCTAAATGTGATATAAACTGAAAAACAAATATCTAACAATAAGGGTACATACAGTTGAAGGGAAAAATGCTGTTTTACTGATTTTTCAGTTTAGGATAATGAAAGACGTAATAACAGATAGTGATTATGGATGCCCAACACTGTATTCAGCACTAATAATTTATGATCATATACTTGATGGTTACAAAGAAGAGTCTTGTATTACAAATTTAACATGGCAAATAAAAGACAAATGTTATAAGATCGATTCATTGATAGGGAAAGAGAGATAATTTTCCTTCCTTACCTGGTTTATACACAAACCAAGATACTTTAAATAATAATATATTATTTCAAATTATGAGAGTGTTAATTCAAGGAAACTCACAGGCTTTAATCCAGTTTCTTACTCAGAAATGTATTAAAGCTGGGGATGTGGCTCAGCTGGTAAAGAGCTTGCTTCTATCTAGTTTATCTTCCTGTGTGATAAAATACTGACAAAAAGCAACTTAAGTGGGGCTGGGGAGATGACTCAGCCATTAAGAGCACTTGCAGCATAATCATGAGGATTAAAGCTTAGATCCCAGTACAAACAGAACAAACCGGGAATCCCTGTACACCCACTCGTTAACTCCAACTGGGAGAGCAGAACTGAAGTCATCCCAGTGCCAACCTGTCTCCAGACAACCTTCACAACAAGAACACAGCACACTAGCAAGGTCATACATACACTGCAAATACATAAAAAGAGTTGTGGTGATATACACCTGTAATCCCAGACTTGAGAAGTACAAACAAGAGGATCAAAAGTTCAAGATCATCTTCAGCTATGTTCAAGCCACCCTGGAAAGAGAGGATGCCACAAACACACAAAGTATTCTACAGCCAAGTGTGTCAGCACACCTGTAATGCCAGCTCTTACAAGGCTGAGGTAAATAAAGTCTTAGACTAACAAAAAGAAGGCTGAGGTAAGAATGCAGTAAATTCTAAGCCCTCCTGAACTACATAGCAAGAGCCTGCCTAAGGGGAAAACAAAAAACTATAGAATCACCAAAAAGATTAAAAGTTTAAGTTTAGATCCATATCTGTAGAAATTAATGTTAAATTATACGGAAGAATGTCATAGGAAGGAAAACATATTGTTTCTTAATGCCCCATTGCCAGTAAGAGGAAGATTTGTCCAGACCTTTGCTCTCTCATACTTTACAAAGGCTACTACTGGCTTTCAGAAAGGAACCAGGACGAGTATATGGCTCGGTGTTACAGCATTTGCCTGGCAAACCTGAGGCTCTAGGTTCAACCCCAGTTAAGTAATGAGAAAAGGAAACCCATACAGGTATTTTTTTCAAAGGAAGGAAAGAAGGGGGAGGGCTGATCAGAGGGTGTGTGTGTATCAGCGTATCAACAGACAATTTTAGGGAATCATTTCTCCTTCTACCATGGGGACCCCAAGACTCACTCAAGTCATCAGACTTTAAGTGTCTTGACCTGCTGAGTCATCTTCCCAGCCTAAATATATAGTCATAATATGCTGTCTTTGTGGTGAAACTTACATACACTAAGACTTAAAAAAAACCATAGGTTATTCCTTGAAGTCCTATTCTAAAACATAAGATGCAGAAATGGCATGTTCCTGCCGGGCATGGCGGTACACTCCTATAAATCCCAGCACACAGGAAACAGAGGCTGGACAATCAGGATAGTCCAAGACCAACCTCTGCTACAAGAAATGCTGAGAAGACAGTGAGGAGATTATGGTCTCAAAAAGCATTTGTCACCTAAGCTTTTATTGCCTAAGTTTAGTTCCTCCTGGATTCCATATAAGGAAAGCACTGACTCTACAAAGTTATCCTCTGACCTCCACATCAGTACCTTGGTACAACCCTGTACATACAAACACACATAATAAAAAAAAAATAACCTCTAAAAATGGCACATCAAAGAAAAACATTAAGTTGCCAATAGGCCTATAAGAGGGATAGAAAAATAGTTTAAGATACTTTTTTCATTAATAGAAATCACTTCGAAGCTTTTTCTACCCACCAAAAACAAAAAACAAATCAGGGAAAAGCGGTAAATGTTCTTTCATTTTGAGACTTTCAAGGGCAAAGCTATACTCCAATGGAAAAAATTACAAAGTAGGCGGGACATGGTGATGCATGCCTTTAATTCCCAGCACTCAGGAGGCAGAGGCAGGTGGCCCTACCTAGAGTTCCAGGATATGCAGAGCCAGTCGGAATTGAGACTATATGGATACTCACTATCACAGAAAACTGCGTCACTGTTGGCAAAGTCTGGCCTTGTGTTGCTGTTTTAAATGAGAGATGGGGAAGTTATGAACTGTCCCAGGCTGGTAAGATGGCCCACGCTAGTGAAGTTTCTGACAAGCCTGAGACTGCTCAGTGGCTAAAAAGCACTTGATGCTCTTGCAGAGTGTGTAAGTTCAATTCTTAGAACCCACATGGCAGTTCACAACACCTGTAACTCCAGTTCAGAGAATCTGCCGGGTAGTGGTGGCACTCAGGAGGCAATCACACTCAAGACCAACCTTGTCTACAGTTTGAGTTCCAGGACAGGCTCCAAAGCTACAGGGAAACCCTGTCCCAATAAATAAATAGTTAGTTAATTGATTAATTAAATAAATAAAAAGTATGGGCTTGGCCGGGCGTTGGTGGCGCACGCCTTTAATCCCAGCACTCAGGAGGCAGAGACGGGTGGATCTCTGTGAGTTCGAGGTCAGCCTGGTCTACAAAGCGAGTTCTAGGACAGCTTCCAAGACAATACAGAGAAACCCTGTCTTGAAAAACCAAAAGTATGGGCTTGAAAAATGGCTCAGAGATTAAGAGCACTGGCTGTTTTTCTGGAGGTCCTTGAGTTCAATTCCCAGCAACCACATGGTGGCTCACAATCATCTGTAATAAGATCTGGTGCCCTCTTCTGGCATGTAGGGATACATGCAGGCAGAACTCTGTATACATACTAAATAAACAAATCATAAAAAAATAATAATTACAGTTCCTGGGAATCTGATACTCTCCTTCTGGATTCTGTCAGTACCAACACACTGTACAGTGCCACACACATATTTTTTAATAATTTATTTTTATTTCATGTGCATTTGTGTTTTGCCTGTGCATGTGTGAAGCTGTCAGATCCCCTGAAACTGGACTCAGGCAGTTATGAGCTGCCATGTGGAAGATAGGAATTGAACTCGGGTCCTCTAGAACAGTCTGCTCTTAAGCACAGAATCATCTCTCCAGCTCAAAAATTTAGCTGTGCACTCAGGAGGCAGA